ATATATATATTCATACATACTAAATTTACATATATACATAATAATTTACATATACATATACATATATATATTTATTTCAAAATACTTGCAATTGGCAAGTATAATCATACACAATATGAATGAAACTATTTTTAGTAAGTACTCCAGTTGGAGTACAAATTTAGAATCACGTGAATGCATGCTTTCACTTTTACGGGCGGTGAATTTATAATGCGGCACGTGGAATTATCGAGAATCTCCGAGGTATTTGCCAGATAAAATGTTAAAATCCTTTTCTTTTTTCATAGAGAAATGTGTATTTTTCATTTAACAATTCAAGTCAGATCAAGGATCATCTGCTTACACGTTTAGAACCATACGAATGTCTATTATATCGCTTCTCGTATACAAATATTAACTAGATTTAACTAGAATATGTACAATCTTAACAGAGATATTTTTATCGTTATTTGTAATCTATATATAATGAAATATTTCGTCTTCTTCGTCGTCATTTTTCATTATATTCATTGCAATACGATAAAGTAATATGATTTAAAGAAACTAAACAACGTTACATTATTTCAATATATTATTTCAATATTTTATTGACCTGTTAATAAGAAAAAATTTTCGATCAATGTGAACAAAAATATATAAAATTTATTTTTATTCGAAAGAAAGTAATTAGAAAATGGAGATATAAAATTCAGAAAAAATGAATAAATTGTAATACGAAGAATTTGAATGTATGTTTTTATCTATTAATCCTTGATTAAAAAGTTAATTATCTTCCTTATTTAATTATATCTTTTTTTACGTTCAGTATTTATTACGTTCAGTTACTCTTTGTTTACGTTACTTTTCAAAAATGATACGAGCGTTTATCTTAAAAATGCAATATACTATAACGTCATAATTAGATAAGGAAACCTTGATTTCATAGCAAAATAAACATTGTTCTGTATTTTAATAATACATTTCAAAATGATATTTTGCATGATTACGTAGCGAAAATTCCATTTTCTTAGTTACCATAGTGACGATTGAGACGGTGTTAATAGACGAAAATTAAAGTATCATTCGCACATATGGAAGTAAATTACTAGATACTATATACATATCTTATTAGGATATTATAGGGGAGTGTGTTTTAATATACATATACGTCTTGAAAATATTTATATATATATATATATATATTAAATCCATATATGTACATATTATGAACTTTTAATAGCAAAGTCATTAGTGACCTTATGTACGACTTGGTCATGCGATAAACTATATTCATTCTACTTGCTGATATATATGTACACAAAGAGAAATCATGCCATAAACGCGTACTACGAGACTCAGTATCGACTTTTGCTGCTTAGAGACACGAGCTCGTTTATTATTCCTTTGAAGAACGAGGTTCGACATCGATAAAGGTAAATTTCCTTGCGTACAGGATGTCAAAGGTCACTTGTCTTGATAATTGCATTTGTCGACTCAAATATATATCTCTGTACGAACGCATCAAATGTGAATAAAGCAAAAAGATTTAAAAAAAAAGAGAATATATACAGTAAAATAATTTTTGAGGTTGAAATATATAACTAAAATATTTACAATAAAATGCATTTTTAAAAAGTTTTCAATTTTTTTTTTTCCAATAAAATGTTTATATAAAGGAAAATTCGTTTTCTCGTAATACTTTGACAAAAGAAAGTTGACGTGTCCTTCTTTCTAATATAGACGGAAAATTTAAAAAGTTAAAGCTGGTCGTATGGTCGATCGTATGTTAAATAAAGTATGAGCATTCTGCGAAGCAGCAAGTTTCCTAGACGAAATGACCATCAAGTTGTGTGACTGTTTTCACGTTGTAGTACGATACGCGTGGACGGACGTCCGATAAATTATGCAGCTTCTTCGGCTTTCTTTCGCGATGAAACTTGAAGGCCAGTTGGAGGGTGACACATAAAAAAATACTATTGTCTAATGTAAGTGCGAAGAAGAATCGTAATATAACTTTCGTAATCGAGCAAACGAATAAAAAAACTTATGCATTATCTAGACCTCGGTAATCAACAAAATATACAATCTTATAATATATTTAAGCTTCAATCAACGTCGCACAGTTGCTCTTATCATTTTAATATTCTGTAAAGATATATTTAAAAACGAACTAGATATGTAATTTGTTAGATAACAATAAACCATAAATCATTAATTACATTTTTACAAAAAACTGCATTTAAATATAATACTGTGTTATTAATATAACAGTCTATTATACAATTAAAGACATACAGGAAATAAGTACTACGTTTTGGAATGTCTCATGGCTTATAAGTAACAATAAAGTTAGAAAGACGAAGAAACATATATTGAAAGTTAGAAATAGAGAGAGCGATCGATAATGAACGGAATGATCTGTAATCGGTGTTACACGCAATCGTTTCGAAATAGTTCGATTGCGAGGAGAGGAGGAAAAAAGGGAAAAGATCAGATCAGGATCGTGAGAAGATATCACTCCGATGGACGGTATGATAGTAATGTACGATGCGCAGGAGCGTCGCAATCGGACAGCTCCGGTTTCGTCCGTTGCGGAAACGAAAGAAGGCGAGGTTTGCCGGAAGGCACCGACCGTCGAGTAAACCGCGAATGACAAAAGTGGGGGAAACGCGAAAAGTGAGAGAAGAGGCGCGCTTGTTCGAGTTTTAGGCTGCTCAAGAGTCTAACTCGAAAGACGGGAGGCGCTCGAGAACGAGCAGCAGCAGCCGTCATCGTCGTCGCCGTCGCCGTTGCAGCCGTCACCGCCACCTCCTCTAACGCAGATAAGAACGAACGAAAGCGAAAGCAGCGCCTCCGTCTCCGTCGGCAGTAGCAAAATCCTCGGCGTCAGAGCTTGCCGCGCTACTCTTCGACCTCTCGTTGTCTTTACCGTCCCTCCCAAATCGCAATCGTGATCCTTTTTTTATTTAATCATTTCTAACTATCTCGCATTTGATTCCTTATCGTTCCAATTTTCTTCTTTCTTTTTCTTTCTCTTATTCTATCACTCTCTTATTCTCACTTTTCTCTCTCTTGATATACATATATATATATACATAATATATATATATATATATTTCTCTCTTGTCTATCTATATATATATATATTACATATATATATCACTTATTCGCTATCTTTATCTTTTCATCTATTTCTCCTTGTACACGCATACACGTTCTGTCCTTTTTCCTCTCTGTCTCTGTTTTTGACTCTCTTTCTATCTGGGAATCGCTTACGTCCTTCGCCCTTTTCGTCCGACATTCGTCTTACAAATAGCACACATCTAGGCGGCTCTTCTACTCCCGGACGCGCTAGCCGGTACCGTATTTCGCGACGGAAAAGTATATTACTCGACGCATGCTACCCCGTATGCGTACATGTGTACCGTGGAGCCGGCTTCAGGCACACTTGTCTCCAAGATATCTACGAAAGCAAGGATATTTACTCTGCTATCATTACAAGTACAACGATTTCTTCTAAGGATAACTCATCGAACTATCAATATCTACAAGAAGAAGTTACTTCAAATTCAACGATAAGAATCGTCGTCATCGCACTGTCACGGGTACGCCCTTCTTTATTCGAAGGAATCGCGTCATTTTTCTCGTGTGTGAGTGTATACTTGTTTTCTATGTGTGCGGGTGTGTAAGAAAGAGCGACGCTGGTCGGTCGCGTCACGCGAGTTGGCTGGTGCCGTCGTATAAGAATGAATAACGCACGCGACACGATCCAGCATTTTTAAATTGATTCCCGGTGCCGGTCTTTTCTCAACCACCTGCTTTCTTTTCTCTGTCTCTGTCTTTCTCTTTCTTTTTTTCTCTCTCTCTCTCTTTTTCTCCCTCTTTCTCACAGTTGATGAATCTTTTACTTTCTTCCAGATGGTCTGTCTCTTTTCAAAATGTCATCCACTTTATTTATAAAATGAGTTCATTCAATAAAACGATGGACGGTAAAAAGATGACATCACTATATTTTAGAGTATCCGTTTTATGTCTAGACGGTCGATCTTTTGATAATGTTATTTATCTTGTTAACATATCAATTTCCCTTTTTGACACTTCAACCTAAAACAAAACAGAAATATCTGAAATAGGCTCGATGAACTCATATGTAAGAGAATTTGTTCTCGTTGGCAGGGTCACAATGAATTGTCTCCTACCAACTCCTATTTGTAACATAAGAGATAAAGAAAGAGAGAAAATGAGTAAGGTTAACGTCCGCAAAAATAATACGACATTATACACTCAAGGATTCTTCCAAATTGCTTTGTTTATTAATTCATTCGTTCATTCGTTAATTTTTGAAAGAGTAAAAAGGAGAATCATCGAGGTAATAAAGGATATAGTACTTTTGTCGTCATCCTCTATACTCGTGCGAGCAAGAAATTAACCCACTTTCCGGCGGCACGTGCGCACTCTCAAATCCGGCACAGACGTTTTGGCGCCTCCGTTGCCTTGTCCACTCGCTTAAATCTCTAACTTGATGTGAAAATTGTAAAGAAAGAAAAGAATGAAAAAGAGAAAAGAAAGAATCAAAACTACTATTCGATTATCGACGAATTTTCATACCCCGTTTTTAAAAGGATGTTCTGTATTCTTACAAACTTGTTTACTCTCGTAAACGTGTTTAAATGGTCGTAGTTTTTTTTCCATTCTTTTATAACGAATATCATCTTGTTAGATCTTTTCTTTATATATTCCTAAAACAACAAATGATAAGATTAATTTTACATTATATTTTTAAAATAATTTTTATATTTAAATATTATTATTATTATCATCATCACTATTGTTATTAAATTTCGATACATGTATTAAAAATTTTACATCGTCGTTTTAACACATAACAAAATTTTCGTGATTTCTCTTGCTTTCGTTTAAATTTATTTACGATTATGAACATAATTATGGTCTAAAAATTAATTTCTTTCATTATTTAATTGTAGAAAGATTTGAATAAAACTTTAAAATATCATTTTTCATAAAAGATTAACGCGCAGTATTCATGTATAATTTAACATGTCATAAATTTAACCTGCTATTGTTATATTCGCATAATTTTTTTGAATTGTTAAAAATAATGAACGATAAATGCATGTTCTTTTATGCAAAAAATATTTATCTTATCGTAAATGGTCCATTATTTTTGGCCAAATGCAATTGTACAAGCGATATTAGAAATGTTTCCTTTTTAAATTAGAGCCGCGTAAGATGTGTCAAAAAGACTAAAAAGAAAATAAAAGAAAGTAATGGAAAAAAAAGCTAAAAGGAAACGAATAAATCGACCACACCGTAAAATTTATTAAATAGTTCAATAATCAACGAATAAATTTATCGATTAATATTTGACGTCATTTCATTTTGGCTCAACGGACACGAGATAAAAAGGAATAGGTACCGACAGTGCCTTTTATGATTCACAACCTATTACGCGTGCAAATTGTTATGTCTATAATGATATGTAAGAGATATCACGGAAATAGGAAAGAAATTCAATGGAATATGTAATCGTATCGTCTCTTACAACATGCGTATTTTTAAGGGAAAACATCATCGTTACCATCATCATATGCGGTACCAGATGAGAAAGAGGGTTCTAAACAAAGGACTAAAAGAAGAAACGTGCGTAGAATTAATATGATCACGACGATATGGGAAGAAATGGTGAATTACTTCGAGGCCGAAAATTTCGAATGATTTTGAAACATTCAGGGTATTAAACGAATTTTTTACTTAAAAGACAGAAGAGCGACGAAATCAAATACATTTTTAAAGAAAAATATACAAATTATCATACTCATCCCTATATTTTCGCGTGTTATTCAAACACGAAATATTGCGATGCCAAAGGACGTACAACGATTGGTGTATGACACGAGTAATTCTTGAAGATAAATTTCCTTTATATTTAACATCGAATCGTAAAGGTGTAGGCTAATTATGGATGACATAAAGGTGCCCAATTTAGGACAAGCTGCATCGGCTGCATGCTCAATGGCTACAAATTTCTTAGCCCCAGTCAAAACCGAAAGACAAATTTATGAAAATTCAATGCTCGAAGATGATCCTAATGCAAATTCAGTGGTACCCACTTCTAATGAAGATAGGATAGTACCGAGATGGGGTCCTAGTCACAAAGGTGCACAAGAATTAGCAAATCTTTACAGTACCGGTAAGTTATTTTATATTTCTTTGTTTCTTCTATTTCTTCGAACGTAATCAAATCATATTCATTCCATGACCTCATCTTCATTAGCTCAGCTTACATGAAAGAGATCTTCTCTTTGTATCCTTCTGACTTCTAATGATTCTAATTTACTTTATTACTCTGAAAACAAAAGATCTTTTAGTACAAAGAACTTTTATTCGTAAAAGTATATAAGTTTAATAATGGATATTCGTAATATCAAACATACTCTAAAATGTTCTTATATGTTATCTTCTTATCATATTATTTACATTTTTTATCCTTCTATTAAATCAGTTAAAGTATTGAAAAAAGAGTCAAATTAATTATAACGAAAAAAGTAAATTGATAGAATTGATACGATATTCTTATCGCCGAGATCGTTGAATGGATACTAAGCTTGATAAATTATAGGTTGTGTATCATATCAAGGTTACAGATAATGAAAGAAGACGAGATTCCTGTAATCTATAACCTAAATCTATAATCTGTAACCGAAACTTGATTGCTAATTAGTTTGTTTTTTTCTTTGTTAATAATTTACATTCAACAAATCAGTGATAAATTGTTATATACAATTCCATTTATTATGCATAAGAAATTAAAATAAAATAAATAAATAAAATCATAAAATGTATAGAATATGATAATAAAATATCCATCATATAAGAATTGATTACATGCCAAAATTTATCACTTATAAGTCACTTGTACCTTGAAATCTCCGCGAGCTACGAAAAGACTTGTCATGATATAAGCAACTTAATTACCACATTAGTATCGTGTTGAGATTGTTATATAAAGATGTTATGATAGCAAAGTAATTTCTATATTGTTCCATTTTCCATTTGAGTAGCCATAACAAGTTACTTACTAATCGTAATTAACTATAAATTCATATTCGATATATATAAATTACCATATGAATATATTAGGCTAAAAAATCGATTTAAATATTGTTATTTATTATTAGTTTAGAAAGATAATAAAAAATGTATGTAATGATAATTAATGTTAAACGATGTATATATATATATATATATATATATATTATGTTTCTTACAGGAAAAAGAACACAAGAATGTATATGCGTTGGTATTTGTATTGCATTGGTAGCAATAAATTCGTTATTCATCCTAGTCAGATTAAAATTTGAAAATTTAAGTGCGATAGCAGTAGCAGCATTATGCGGAATCGTTACGGCGGATTTTGGATCAGGATTAGTTCATTGGGCTGCTGATACATGGGGTTCTGTGGAATTACCCATTCTTGGAAAGGTACGATTTTTCAAAATCAACAAAGCAACTATAATGAAAATAATCATATATACATATTATTAATATTATTAATATTTTCTAGAATTTTTTAAGACCTTTTCGAGAACATCACATTGATCCAACCAGTATAACGAGGCACGATTTTATTGAAACGAATGGTGACAATTTTATGGTTACCATACCATTCCTTTCTAAATTAACATGGGATTTTCTTACTTTATCAGAACCGGAAATTGAGCAGAAATTTCTTTGGACGTGTTATTGGTTTTTACTTGCAATTTTTGTAGCAATGACTAATCAGGTAATTTTTCGTATATTTTTAAAGTATAGAACACGAATGGTATTATCGTTTATAATAAAAAATTTCATTTCGTGGGAAGCGAGTTACAAAGTTGGGACAAATAAAAGATATTTTACAGATTCATAAGTGGTCTCATACATACTTCGGACTTCCTTCTTGGGTAGTTTGGCTGCAGGAGCATAGAATAATTTTACCGAGGAAACACCATCGCGTGCATCATGTTGCGCCGCATGAAACATATTTTTGCATTACCACTGGCTGGTTAAACTGGCCATTAGAAAAACTTCAGTTTTGGTGTATTTTAGAAATTATTATTGAAAAATTAACTGGTTGTAAGCCTAGAGCCGATGACCTAAAATGGGCACAGAAAAGATCTTGAGATTTAATGTGGTTTTTCTTAGCTCTGCATTTTAGGGGGTATTCAAGATATGTAATATAGCATCATATATTTTTGAGGGACTGATAAAATAACATCGAATTACTGACTAATAACACAAAAAGAGAAATTTATGCACAGACAATAGTAAAAGCTTGAGTGATACACATAAAAATGATATTAAATCTATATAGTTTTTTTATACTAGTACTATGAGGCCTTTGAATAAAAAAAAGTCTAGAGTGACTAAGAATAAATAGTATTACTTGAAAATGCTTTTGAACTTTACACGTTTATAATACGTACATGCAATAATATATATATATACATGTATAAGACAAATGTAATATTATAACGTTATATATGTCATATAAAAAATTGATAATCGGCCTGTTGTACTGTATTATGAGATTTATTTCATAGCACAATGATTTCACAAAATGCACAAGACTCACTGGATCTTAGCATTAAAAAGTGTATAATTAATTTTTCATTATGAAATATCTTTAAACAAACACAGGAAAGGTAAAAACAAAGTTTAAAATAAAAGAAACTAAACTATCTTATAGTCTTTATGTGTTTCGTAAGCACATATGTCCAGTGACTGAAGTAAAAAAGGAAATATAAATATATATAATAAGCTTAAATTATACGTACGTGTATATATAACTTTTACACACATATATGCACACTTACATAAATTATATATACATACATTTAATTAGCTGACTTGATTTCATATAATTCAATTATTTTCGCACAATTTATTTAAGAACAAATTTTAATATAATAATAATTGTTGTAAATATTGATGGTTTTAATAAGTTTTATATATTGATCAACCTTAACTTTTTTTTAATAGCTTATGATGCAAATTTCCCTGAACCTTTAAAGATCTTTGACCCATTGAGGTGTATCAAAATAGAAAATTATTTGTTTTTGAAAATATAAATACCAACTCAACAGTTAACAGGTCACTTTGTTTAAATGTATATATTGTATAGTCTATTTATTTATTATTTTATATAATTTATTATTCTTGTATACATAAAATATACTAAATTAAAATTTGCATTAGATGTTGAACTAACAATTACATTATTGTATTTATAATAGTATAGACAATTGACTTTTACCTGTAACTGTTGCGTTTACTATTCAATAAAAATGGCAATGTCATTTAAAATTGCAATGACAACGAAAAACAAAATAAACTTATCATTTGTAAATGTATATTTAATTTGTGAAAAACTTGAAACGTTAAAAAAAAATGTATGGTTATAAATTTAAACAAAAAAACATAGTAATAGCATAGATTATTTTTCTTAACATCACTCACACCGATTATATTTCTTAGCTTATAACAAAAGGGTCAAAATACTGTAAAATCTTAAGGTGCTAAAAGTATAAGTACAAATTTAGGTTCAGGGACCAAAGGACCTATTACTATATGCAATTATCATATGAATGATTGGTTTGCTTTGAATAAAGTATACTAATATAAAAATAAATTTTTGTAATGCAAGTAAATATTTTTAATATTTTCTTATGTCATTTATATTGATAATAAATTAAACTACAAACGCGCGCGATGAACATATTTCAAATCAAAGTGATGATCTTTTAATGTTTCAGTATACTTTATACAGAATCATGCCATGATATATGTTCCTTATCAGCAAGTCAGTTGTAAATACCTCTTAAGAAAAAGACGGTATTTATTATTGTTATTGTTATTGTTATTGTTATAAGAAGAATATAAACTTTAAATGAATCTGTCATATAAGAGAGATGATAAATAATGCAATGCCTGGAGCTTTTCTCAATGCGTTTAATATTTATTGTGCAACAAGTAAATAAAGCAGAGCCTTATTTATCATAAGAGAGCAAAAGACATATTTTTCATCTTAAAATGCAATTTCGTATAATAATGCCTAAGAATTATTATTAGTTTACTATAAATTATGAAAGAATTTAAATCAAACGGATGGAAAGTAATGTGAACAGTTATATTTGCACTGCTGTGTTATAATACAATAATTTTCAGATATACAAACTGGAAAATAATATATATACATATATAATATATATATTWTATATATATATATAAATATAATAATTTATATAACAAATTTATATTTATGAATAGAATACTGTTTTTCCAGGAGTGTGATTCAAATTCTATAATAAGTATTACAATAAGCAGATTTTTATAATACAATTACTTGTGTTTTGATTTCATTTATGTCGCAATAATACAACCATGTGCTATGAAAATAGCATCAAATAACAATATTAAAAGACTAAGTCTGAATAAAGTAATGAAAATTTTATATATATATATATAAATTTTCCCCTTACATGTAAATTAAAAAATATATATAAATAAGTTAGATTACAATGTGATTTTATTAGTTTTAGAAAGTATATTAATTAAGAGCATGCAATGAAAGAAAGTTAATATAATGCGAAAGTTAATATAATCGATATGCTATTTAAAAATAAATAAAAAATAATGAAATATAATAAAAATTTAAATTAAAAAAAAAAATATACATATATATGATTTGAATGAAAATTTTCCGGGGAATATTTACATATAACTAAAAAGCAGGTAGAAATAAAAAAATCGTATAATATAAATTCTTCACTATTTTCATATAGCAATGGTTGTATCTTATATATATATGGATATATGTAATTTTCTTATAAATTCATCACCTACTGTATTATAATTGGTTAGCCTTTGCAATTTTTTCATGAGCATAGCACATACTTTCAATTTTTATAAAAATATATTAAAAATAAAAGATAAAAGATGTGATTATTTACCCTTGAAACATATATTACATGTATACACATATAATTTTTAACGTTAAAAATATAATAAATATAATGATGATCGATTTTGTGGATATGTAAAATTTCTTTTTATTATTTTACGTTTTGTAATTATAATTAATATACGGATTTTGTATAATGTATTTTTTATATAGTTTCTATATATAAAAAATTTATATAAAAGACTTTAACATACCTTAAATAATAATGCTTAATGTTAATTTGCACAAGTAGATGGAAATAATCATATTTGAAAATTTAAAAATATTACCTATGCAGTACTACCAACATTAAATACATAAGAATATATTTTTAATCAAATTCTATTATTCGATTTATCTTCCATTTAAATTGCTAATATAAAAATTGATAAAATATATTTTAATTCTAATTTTTTATGTTATTTCATATTGTTAAACATTGTAATTGTATTTTTTACATTTATTAAAGAAATATATTTCATTATATTTACTACCGCCATCTGCTTATCTGATGCGTAATTATATGCGCATTAGTCTGAAATCGATGCTGATTGGTCGAGGTACGTAAAAACAAGACCTAAGAAAAGATCATAAATCATTAAACTAAGTTTACCGAAAAATGATGTTTCATCGTTTCTAAAATGTAATGCTATTGGACGTACTAAATGCGTATAATATTGACCAATAATCGTAAGCATTAAAAAAAAGTAAAATACTCCAATTTGTGCAGCGTGAATTGGCGTAAACGCGTTATACGAAGTGAGTCTTGTGAAAAGTATTTTTCTAGATCAAAAAATGTGGCAATATTTCTTATTACATTGACGAGTTGTTATCATTAGTACGATAATCTTGAAAGTATTACTAAGTTAACGTAGATTCAGGACTATATACACGGTGTTATGCTATGATATATGACGAATATACATTGACAATACATTGACGCTAATTCGCTATCCATTTTTCTAAACGGTTGGTAGAATTTATGCGTTTGGTGTACAGTAGTCCGGCGACGGCGTCCGTTTGTAAGAAAGAAGGAAAAAAGAGGATTCCTTTGTTGGAATCAAAGCTGACCTTCTGTGTTTGAAAATCAAAGAAGATAAAAAATCGGTAAATTTGGTATATTTGAGAATTCAACAAGCTTAGTGAGTACTCCATTTTCCTTCCCCCGATTTTCCTACAAGTTTATTTGCACCTCATTGTAAAGTTTTTCTTTTCTGTAAAGTGGAAGAATAACAGTGGTATATAGAACAATTGAGGGGCTCCCATCCTCGGGAGCTTCAGCGCCTCGGCGCTTAAGCAGTGATAGGAAAAAAAAGGAAGAAATTACGGAAGGGGGAAGGTTAAGAGGACGGCAGGAAAAGGAAGACGCGCCGCCGTCCATCATCATGAAGCTCGTCGACCACGTGGTGAGAAGCTTCAAGGTGGCAAAAGTCTTCAGAGAGAATTCCGATCGTATAAACAGTATCGATTTCTCGCCAAATGGAGATACACTCATCTCCTGTTCGGAGGATGACCAAATTGTTATATATGACTGCGAAAAGGGCACTCAAGTTCGCACAGTCAATTCTAAGAAATATGGTGTCGATTTGATTCATTTCACTCACGCCAAAAATACTGCCATCCACAGCAGTACCAAAGTAGATGATACTATTCGATATCTAAGTTTGCATGATAATAAGTATATACGATACTTCCCTGGTCATACCAAGAAAGTTGTATCACTTTGCATCAGTCCTATAGAAGATACATTCCTTTCCGGATCATTAGATAAGTCCTTGAGGCTTTGGGATTTACGCTCACCAAATTGTCATGGTGTTATGAATGTTTCGGGACGTCCAGTTGCTGCGTATGATCCTGAAGGTTTAATTTTTGCTGCTGGAGTAAATTCAGAGAGTATTAAGCTATATGATTTACGCAGTTTTGATAAAGGACCTTTTGTGACCTTCAGACTTTCTCAAGAGAAGGAATGCGATTGGACTGGATTGAAATTCAGTAGAGATGGTAAGACCATTCTAATATCGACGAATGGTAGTACAATCCGTTTGGTTGATGCTTTTCATGGAACTCCATTACAAACTTTTGCTGGTTATTTAAATAATAAAGGCATCGCAATAGAGGCTAGCTTTAGTCCGGATTCACAGTTCGTATTTAGTGGCTCTACGGATGGTAGAGTACATGTATGGAATGCAGAAACTGGATACAAGGTATGTGTCCTTAATGGAGATCATCCAGCACCAGTTCAGTGTATTCAATTCAATCCAAAATATATGATGTTGGCATCTGCATGTACCAATATGGCTTTCTGGTTACCAACAGTTGATGAAACTGCATAAGACTAATCAGACCAATGTAGGGCAATGCTCTCAGAAATTTATTTATTATTGGTATGGAAACAAGCTGCGAACTACAGCAAACAGAACGAAATGGTGGTCTAAAACTCCTGGGTATATTGATTGAAAGGATATCGCATCTGTAATGTATACAAAATAAAAGAACCGACGTATGAGACGCCGGTACCGGTACGAACCCAAGGAGCAAAAGAATCGCTAAAGAACAAGAAAAGTGGCTGTTATATGATAGCCATGCTCCTTTGTACTTGCACTTGTGTGCTAAAAAATGGCACGTTTGGAGTACGTTATACACTTTCTATGTATGTCGTCGTTGTTTTCGTCGTCTTCATCGTCATGCATCCTATGGCGCGATGAACGCGACCATTATAATACATACCTTGTCACTGTTTAAAATTGTGACATACCATCATTTCTATAACATCTTAAAGTATATTAAATACTGCTAGTATTCGGATGTGTCGTCTTGTGTACATAGTTTCTTCCCGTGTACCTGTGTGTAGTATAATGGATAAAAAGAACAACTTATATGCTAAAAAAAACCTGCTGTGACTGTGAATTTTGCTAAATCACGAACAGTTTTTAGCGTATCTGCTTTTCTTTCACCATTTCTCATTTATATATATATATATATAAGGTGAATCACAAAGAAGAATTTTTATTGTAATGATAATAAAATCAAGGCAATACATTTTTTTATGCATCAATTCAAACAAAAAGGTACGTTTAACATTTTGGTACCGTGATATAAGTGACATAACTCTGAATACAATTTTTTAAATAGCAAGGGATAGTTCGCTTACAATTTTCTAAATAGATTTAATTAATATAAAATAAATTAGAATTAAAATAAAATGAACTTTTAAAATAAAGATATTTGTTTGAAAATTTTGATTGCATCGATGCTATGAAAAATGTTAAGAAATTTCGAAAATTAGACTACACACATTAATTTTCTTTATATAGAAACAAACTGTCAATATACATGTACATTCACACAGATGCAACAATCATAAACTAGCACTCAATTATACCTGGTTGATTCTTAGAATTTGAACTTTTATTCATTACTTCATTCATTCATATTTTTGTTTAATCCATTTATTCTCATGTACGACCGTCCGAAAACCAAAGGTGTTTGATCATCATTTTATTGAATACTTCTAAAAGTATATTAATACGATGATATACACACGAAACATACAATGTTATAATAAGCAAAAAGAAGAAAGGTAGTCATCGAGCTTATTTATTACTACATATATACGATAAGCACACGATCGCTCATCTACGTTTTCTTTAACAGCGTTAAGCATTTCGAATTATTACGACTTTTTCTACGATAAAGTTTATACCATATTATCTTGGTCTTGCACGACTGCCACAGATATATACTTGTGTTATTATGCGTTATCGTAACTACGATATATCGTCATCAATTTGCATGCGTTAAACCGGCGGGCCGGAATGAAAAATTAATCAATATTCGTAGTGAACGCAGTAAGGAAAACGTCTAATCATAATCCAGTTATTCTCGAGTTTGACGTAAATCAGACACACAACCTACCCTCCTCCTACCTTCTCCGTAATCCTAGTCTGCCTCGAAGTGCATACAAGTGGACGGGCTTGTTTTTCCAGAATTTGCATTGTAACTAAGTTTACAAGATTACTAGGCAATGTTGTAAAAGAAAAAAAAGAGAAAAAGAAGATTAAAAAACTAACAGAACGAAAAAATAAAAGAAAACTTGCACTGCCGTCGAATATTGTGCACTTACACAAATAAGTATTCTTTGAACTTTTCTAATTGCATTTGATTCTTTGAACTTTAACAAGACAATGAGTTGCTCTAACGCATCGTATATTTTTACATTAATTTCAATTAAAATAAAGTATATTTTTACGTTCGCGCTATATCAGGTTTCCAAGAAAGCGATCATTAGCCTGTCTATTATTCTGTTACCCACCGTAATTCTCAGTTTGTAATTCTAAAGCTGTTTTTTTGATGCTTAGCGACAGAAAAAGAAAAAAAAAACCAATAAGAAAATTAAGAAATACGAGGTGCATTAGCCTACAAAGATAATGTAAAATGTGATTTAGTTACTTCAAAAATTAATGTTTAGCATATTTTTATGCCGTGTATGTTTAAGAAAAAGATTCTATGAATGTGGATATATTAGATTAAACAAAACAAAAAAAAAACAAAAAATAGGATTGTACAGTACTACGCTGGTAGATATTTGTTTTTATAAACCAATATATTTATAATTTACTACTGTCTTTTCTCTTTTTTTATATTTTTACGTATTTAATTTGTTCATTTAATAATTATGAAAATTAGCATTTTTCTGCGTCTGCCAGGATATTTTGCTTCCTGGATTCCTAAGTAAAAAAGTTTAATAACAGGTATGATCGGATGCCTAAAATACTATTTTAAATATTCTTATACAATTGTTATTTTGTTTATATTTACATATTGATTTATGTATAATAAATTTATTAGAAACACAAACTATTTGGAAATCGTTAAAAGAATAAAATTAAAATTATTTATGCATTTACTTGTAACTTTATTGTTACAAGTAACTTCATTTTAAATACAAAACATATACATATATATTTATATTTTGATATATGTAACGTAAAAATTCTTTAAAAAAATTTTAATGTTACTATTAGTTTAAAAAATTATTTTATCGAAAAATTTGTAGTCGTGCCTAAAAAGAAAAGAAAAAGAAGAAATGAAAGAAATTAATTCGCATCACAATAAACTAATAAGTTTCAAGATGTCGAAGATAATTCTCATTTGAGGGAGGGAGGAACAGATCTGAGAAATGACCTGTCTTCTTGTTATTTTTCTTTTTCTTTTTCTTATAAGTATATGTATATATAAATACAATTCTTTTTCATTTACGTTAAGCTAATAGATTTATTTTTTAGATTATAACTTGAAGAGAAAACGTTATAATATTTTATTGGATTGGAAGAGGATGCATGTTTTTTTTTGCGTACGTGGATATATCTACAAGGCTGGATGCACCCATTCGTCGTATACTTTCGTGTACGATCGTGCTCCGAAGATCAGTAGCAGCGGGCATGCATGCATGCGCGCATGCATGTATGTATGTATGCGTGCGTCATGTATGATCTTTCTGCTTACGTGATGTGTATGGATTATGTATGTATATATGTATGTATGTATGCGTCGTACGCTTGCTCTTCTTCGTTATGTAAAATAGTATTTTTATAAAGATAAAACAGTGTATGCAAGGTCTAGAAAGTCATAATGTTAAAAAAAGAAAAAAAAGAGAAACAAGAAAGAACACGCAAGAGATGCGATGATGATGACGTTCGGATTAAATGAAATAAAAATTTGCTAAGAGAACATCAATTACATTATCACGTGAGAAGTAAATAAAAAAAAAAAGTATAAAAATAAATGCTGGCACGGAATAGGAAATTTTTTCTTCGTTACATTTTAATTACAATGTTCGATTAATATATTTATCTAGAATAAATGTTCCACGGACATTTTACTGCCAGCCGATTGATTGATTATTATAAGTGCCAATTTGAGCACATTACCCGATGCTAAATGAAACTTAAATAAACAATTAAAAAAGAAAGAAAGAAAACAAATAAGAGAAAAGAAAACATAAAAAACCTGTTAAATCCTTCAAAACGTAAAACACTATGTTCCTATTCTTAAAAGAAAAACGAATACATAGTTGTAATCTATCAATGGATTAGTCCCATGTGGAGTTCTCTTTTTTTCTTTCTCTTTTTTTCTAATTAATACTATCAAGCGTTTGAATGAATAAAAATCTGGTGAAATGGCTGATAAATCTATCGAATTTGTTAAGTAGGATCAATCAATTTCAACATCTCATTTTGAATATGTAGATCACATATTTTAAATATTAGAATTTACACTTAAATCAACTTTTCATTTGTTTATCTTTTTTATTTTTTGATATCAAATTAATTTTAATAGAAAATATTTGAAAAGTAGAACTTTTGGTATATGTATATATATATATTCTATTGCTTCCAAGTTTCAACGGAGAAAACAAAACGAACTTTTTCTTTTTCTCACGATAGTGGATTAGATGAATATATGAATTGAAAGAAAGTGTTCTTATTCTTCCTTGTTCAGATCCCTGCTAACATTTATTCGTACAGTCCATTTCAGATATTATTATTAATTGGCGTAAGGAATTCAAAAGTAGAAATATAGATTTTCAATTTTAATATTTAGTTTCTTCTTTTTTAAGTTTCAAGATCCTATATAAATATCAGTATGGATATAAAACTTTTACTAAATTCAGACTTTTGGTATTGTATGACATTGTTATCGGAAAGGATGTGAATGTATTAATCAAATGTGAAGTTTCATTTATATAAATTGTATTCTTTTATCCATTTAAGTTATGTAAAGATACTGATAATTAAATTTCACTTAAAATACCATTCATTTGATGAATCTTACCTGTATAGTTTATTTTTGTCAAAATATAATAAATTTAATCAAATGTAGAATAAGAAATTTAATTTTAAATATTACTTCGTTCATCTATTATTTTTATATGATATAACTCTTGGACTTCTGTGGGAATTGGAACAGGAGCTTCAGACATCAAGTCTCGTCCTTCTATTGTTTTTGGGAATGCTATAACATTTCTTATACCTTCCGCATTGCAGAGTATACAAAGGAGACGATCCAGACCTAAAAAGTACGTAAATATTAATATCAATTTTTAGTAAATAAATTGAATATTTTATAATAAGTAAAAATACAAAAGTAAATACCCAATGCTATACCACCGTGAGGTGGTGCACCACTAGACAATGCTTCAAGCATATGTGAAAGTTGTTTCTCATTTATGTTCAACATTTTAAATATTTGTTTTTGAAGATTTGTATCGTGAATTCTTATAGAACCTCCTCCTATTTCTGAACCATTTAAAATTAAATCATAATGTAAACCTCGCACCTGTAAAAATGAAGAATGAATTGTATAAATTAATTCTGGGTATTGCTGATAAATCTAATACCTTTTCAGGTTCTGTTTCAAGATATTTCATATCTTTTGGATGAGGTTGTGTAAATGGATGATGCATACTTTCTAATAATTGTGATTCATTTACTTCAAATAATGGAAAATTAATAAGCCATAAAAAGTTGTAGCCAGGTGAACGTATTTTTAAATTATTATTTTCCAATACGTTTGTAAATTCAATTCGAAATTTTCCTAAAAGCTTTTGCTAAAATTGGTACAAAATAATATTTATTTTTAAAATTTATTGTAAGAGTTCAATATAATAAAAATATATACATACAGAATTAAGCTTAGGACCAACGGTTAAAAAAAGAACATCTCCAATGTTCAGATTCAATGTTCGTATTATATCTTCTGCTATTTTCGTAGAAAATAATTTTTCTAATTGTAATTTCCAAGAATTATCCAAAGTTTTTATTTGAAACAGTTTGACAGTTGGAAAATATTTGTTTTTTATATCATTAAATTCTTCTCTAACAGAACGTGTTAAGTATTTCTAAAATATTGAAATATAAAAATATTAATTTCAAACATATATTATTTAAATATTATATATAATATTATAAGATAACTTACACATTTATTGGGAAAAACTAAAGCACAGACTTCGCAATCTTTGCTATTTGTTAATTTCATATCTTTCTCCAATGTAGCCATATTAACAAATTTTGTAAGATACTGAATCTGTCAACATGATATAATGTACATTTAGTAAGTAATAATGAATATAAAGTTTACACACGTACGTGCGTTTAAAAAAATAATTTTCTTACTTCATAAGGTATTCTCAAGTCTGGTTGATCTGTACCATACAACTTCATTGCATCCTCATAGGTTAAGCGTTTAAAAGGTGTAGTTATAGTTTCTGGCCAACTATACTTTAGTAGATTTTCGATTAAATCTATTATTCCCTCTTGATCAACAAATGACATTTCAATATCTAGCTGTATAATAGTTTTGTTATACATTTTTATAATGTTTTTTTAACGAATAGGTATTTAATCACCCACTTGTGTAAATTCTGGCTGTCTATCATGTCTTGCACTTTCATCCCTGTAACATCGAGCAATTTGAAAATACCTATCAATTCCACCCACCATAAGTAATTGTTTGAATTGTTGTGGGCTTTGCACAAGGGAATAAAACTTTCCTGGATGTCTTGTTGGAACTATAAATTCTTGTGCACCCTGTATTAAATAAAATATATTTCAGATACGTTAAATTATTATTAATTTAACACATAGTTTATAATTACATACCCCAGGTGTATTTTTAAAAAGTGTTGGTGTTTCCACATCTACGAAATCACACTCATTGATTAAGTATTCTCTCATCTTCATTAAAAGTTTAGAACGTATTCTTAAATTCTTTTGTATTTCAGGATACCTTAAAGCAAGATATCTATATTTCATTTGAGTTACTTCCTTTGCCTTGTTAAATTGCCTAATAGAAAATGGAAGATGTTCTGATGCTTTATTTAAAACTTTTATAGAATCAACTAATATTTCTATATCACCGGTCTTCATTTTTTTGTTTATTTGTCCTTCGGGTCTCATATTTACCATTCCAACAACACATATAACACTTTCATATGGTAGATCTTTTATTATCTCTATTAAATCTGTTCTCTAAAAAATATATTAATTATTTCATTAAATTCTTATATATTGGGTTATATAAAAGCAAAATGTGTGTGTGTTAAAAAAGAAAACAACATACATTATCAGATATGAAAAGTTGTGTAGAACCATATGCATCTCTTAAAGTTATAAACTTATTCATTCTCTGAAACTCAATCCAACCGTTAAGCTGAACCATAGATCCAACATTTTTGCTAGTTAACTCGCCACAAGTATGTGATCTCAGACAATACTTGTTTACTGGTAAATTTGATCTGTCTAAAGGAGATACTTGTTGAACAACTAAATCATGAGTAAGTCTTACAACAGTTGGTACAGAATATTTCATCGAAACAGACTAAAAAGAAGATAAAAGATTTTATGCTATATATCAATAAAAATGCAAATGCTAATATTAGATATAAGACTTACAAATAAATCTAATATAGAAGGAAGATGTCTTGATATCATACGTGGGTTTAACCGATAAATTAACCTCTCACTGGCAAGCATGTTTAATAAAATAGAATACTATAATAATTGCAAATAAACTTTTAAATTGTTCTTAATTTTCATTGATTAATGTTATCAAGTTTATTCAATTTATATGTTAACATCTGTAATAATATATATTTGTGATTATTATTTTGCTAATGTTGCAAGTTTCTGTACAAATGAAATTTAATTTTTCACGATAAGTGTCTGCAAAGTATACTTAATCTGAAAAAAATTGATAAAATCTTCTAAGAGTCACGAATTTTCGAATAACATATGAAAAATTAATGTACTAAATTTCACAAATATCTAATGTTAATATTTATTTATATATATAGTGTATCTTTATATAGGTACATTGATTAAAAACTTTACATGTAAATGTAATAAAATGTATTTATATTGATTAACAATAATAATATTCTTTGATAATGGAAATATTTAATTGCCAATAATAATTAATTTGAAATTTTATATTATTTTTCGAAAAAGTTGAAATTCCATTATTTCTTAAAATCGTCAATTTAAATTTACCGCGTAAAGTATAACCAATCATTGTATAGTTATAGACATTGGTATTATTATTGTTATTATAGACTTGTAATATAAAATCGATTCTATCAATTTAAAAACTATAAAAAAGATTTTTGTTAAATTGAATATTTTATTAAATATAAAAACGAAATATAATATTCAATTTTTTAAATTAATATGCTATATTAGAGAAAGATTATAAATGTTAAAATGTTCCTATATATTCGATACTTTAATTGAAACTTTCGATTCTAGTTGATTCTAGTGCGATTTCTCGAAACTTTCCTTTTAAAGACAGATACTTGAGATTAAGAATTAATTTTATTGGGTAAAAACTCTATAATCTTATTCGTACAAATCAAATAGTTTCGACGTGAAACGTTTGACCGATTTACTATCTAAATACAGATGATTTCATTGATAATGCGAAATAAAATGATGCCAAATAAACTATCTAATGATATATACGAATGAATGAATTTAACAATAACAATTGATGTGTATTAACAAAGTTTCGATATAATCATTTTTCAACTGTATAACATTAATCGGAATTTTTTTGTCGCAGTAAGTTTGAAATTAATGCAAACGAACAAAAAAGACAAAAAAGAAAATAAAAAAGGAACAATAACCACACAGTATATGCAATCTCAAATGGCTTAATTACGTATCAAAGACGTCAAACGTGTTACAAATACGTGTCATCTTTTTATCTCGAAGAAATCTTGCCAGTGTAATAAAAGAAAAAAAAAAAAAATTCGCTCCGTCGTAGTAATGTCAATTTAGATCAACATACACAGCCATTTTGCCGATCAGAATGTATAGCCATTCGAGAGACAAGGTTTTCTTTATTTTTAAAACCCACTTCTCTACTTCATGATTCTCTGAATTTTGTCAAGTGTATATTATCGTCTAAAAGAAAAAGAAAAAAAAGAAAGGAAAAATTTGAAGGTGTACTTCGATGCGCGTATAGATTGTTTAATAGCAACAGTGTTTAACCACGACGAAATTCTCTCTCGAGACTGTTGCATCTAACGTCTAACCTGACTTTTATTTTAAAAGCACGTTTCGAATCTAAGCCTTTTTTAATTGTGAATGTAAACACAAGGAGAGATATAGATCGATTTTTAATTCGTAATTTATATTTACGCTTTTCGATAATCTTATCACGATTAGTGGGAAAAGTTGTTGCAGCAGTGGTAAATTTTCTACTTTTATAGTTTTCGTAAGTTTATTGATTAAAACGTTATGCGATTTCATCAAAGAACTTTTTTTACTTTTTTCTTTTAAAGAATAATATGTGCTCTTTGTTTTATTTATGATCGTGATTAAATTGTGATTTAAGAATAAAAAATAAAGATAAGTCAACAACTCAACACAAAATAGATAGTGCGTGTATATATATAYAATAGTGTTTTATTAATAAAAGGAATAACAAGAAAAAAGATTTATTGAAACGTAGATATTATAAATATAGTATTTTAAAGTTTAGTGATCAACTGCGATTTTAATAGTAAAAAAAAAGTAAGTCATTAAAAAAAAACGAATTTAAATGAAATTTTATTTCTGTCACAAAAATAGGAATTTATGCAATGTAAATCGCATCATTGATACGTCGTTGTAATTATTACATTGTTACAGATAGTACTCCAATCGTTTTAATGACAAATATATTGTATGAGATAAAAGTAACAAGAACAATAAGAAGCATCTAATAAAAATGATTTTGTCGCTTGAAAAGACATTGGAATGACTATGATTAAAAGGATATAAGATCAATGATTGATCTTTAAAACTTGTATAAATGTATATTAGTAATTTTTTTTATTGATAATTTATTATACACATATAAATATATAGATATAAATAATTGATATGCTATCTTTTAGATATATAAAAGATTAATTATTAAAGAAAGTTTGCAATGGATGAAAGGAGAGTAGCAGATTATTTTGTTGTCGCTGGTCTACCAGGGCATAACGATGACATTATAGGAGAGAACGAAGTTAATGATGAATTAGAAGATTGGTGTCAAGAAGGAACGCATTTGAAAGATATACATATGCAACCACCTATCACAGATCTTGCTGTCATTTTTCCAGCTTTAGGTGAACAGTGTCCTGAAGGTTATACATTGTTAGAATATACCGTGTCCGGTATCCCAGCTGATTTAAATCATGGCAGCTTACGAACAAATGAATGTTATCTATGCTATAGGAGAGGTCGAGATAAACCACCTTTAGTTGATATTGGTAATTTTTCTATTTTAAATTATTAATGACTACAGAAATTATTAAAATTATATCAAGTATGAAGTGACGTATGTGATTTTTAAAGGTGTAATATATGAAGGGAAAGAGCGTATAATGCAGGATGCACAAATAGTACTAGAAACTCCCAAAGGACACATAGCGAATGTTAACAATTCAACTTCAAAAATATTTGTAACATATAGACGAGCAAGTCAAAAAATGCCTTGTAATTCTCTTGTTGTTACTGATATATGTGTTATTTTGAAAAACAAAGGGGAAACTCCTCCACATGCGTTCTGTGTTATTAATAAGAATTTAAATAAGGGAATGTTGGGCAGTGACGTATTCTTATGCTACAAGAAATCCATGAATCGTGCTAATCTTATATCGTTCAAACCAGCAATACTTTATAAGTATCCGACAACTGATTATAACAGCTTCGTTTTTCCAAATTCAGTTGCCATGTTTTGCTTACCTATGGGAGCAACTATAGAATGTTGGCCAAAAATGGCTTGTAAACCTAAGTCATTATTTTCAACATTTGTCTTAACTGTCTCGGATGCTGCACAAAAAATATATGGCTCGGCTATAACGTTTTATGAAGAGTTTACATTGCCACCAGATGCTTTAAGCTGTAAAGGAAATTTGGATATGGAAGATATAGAGGAAAATACAAAAAATAATGGTATGTGATTTTATGTACTCTTTAAAATTTTTTTAAGATTTTCTATTAATTAAGCATGGTTGCATGAAATAAAGGTAGTATAATATATGCTGATAACAACTAATATATAAAGTGCATTCTTTTATTTTTTTTTTTTTTCATTTTTTTATTTTTTTTATTAGAAAAACATTTTTAGTTATTTTAAATGTAACTGTTTAATGTGCATTTCAGCTGATAGTATTGAATTAACGGAGGAGTTTCATCAATCAAAAGCAAAAATGTTCAGAAAATACGGAATACTTAAGAAGCTTAATATATCCCAATGGGCAAAATTACAATTTACAGATCCTAGCAGTCAGTCATTAAATATCAGCAAATCAATATGTATATTATCACATTGGCCATTTTTTGATACATTTGAAAAATTTCTAGTCTTTCTGCATAGCATGGTCAATGGAAAACCTCAAAATGTTTCTATAGAAAAGTATATTTCTTATTTTTTGTGTGATATACCTTTTCCAAGTCCTCAAAGATCAAGAATTCTTGTGCAACTTAGCAGTAAAGATAGACTAATCTTGACTCAACCAGAAGATTTAGTTTTGCCTAGATCTGGTGCCAGTTTTAGGCAATTATTAATCAATTTGGGTCCTGATAATTGCTTATTGATATTGCTCCTAATCTTAACAGAGCAAAAAATATTGGTTCATTCATTACGGCCTGATGTGCTAACTTCAGTGAGTGAAGCTATTGCAATGATTTTGTTTCCATTCAAATGGCAATGCCCGTATATACCACTCTGTCCATTAGGTTTAGCCGAGGTATATTTTATTATAAATTAAACTCTAAAAATGATTTACCATGCATTACTAATTTAATTAAAAATTTTAATATGTAAATTACAGGTCTTGCATGCACCGCTACCATTTTTAATTGGCGTTGACTCAAGGTTTTTCGATTTATATGATCCACCATCTGATGTTAATTGTGTCAATCTTGATACAAATAATATAGCAATTTGCGATGACAAGAAATATTTGAATGTAAAATTACTCCCTAAGAAGGCAGCTAGACAGCTTAGAAATTGTTTAGAACATCTCTATTCAAAATTAACCTCTCTTGGAAAGATATATTCTTCTCAAAAAGGTAATCATTAATTATATACATTTTTAAATGGTTAACATGTGAAATAATTTTTAAGTAATTAAACTATTTTTACATATATTTGACATTTCAGACCAAGAACATGGTGATTTTAGTGTAGATAAAGAATTCCAACAAAAACAAAAAGAACAAGCATTGGAACTTGAAATACAAGACGCTTTTTTAAAATTCACTGCTACTATTTTAAAAGGCTATCGATCTTTCTTATTACCAATTACGAAGGCTCCTACTGTAGGATCAACAGATCCAACAAGTTTATTTAATATGCAAGAATTTTTAAGAAGTCGTGACAAGGCTCATGCAAAATTTTATAGTATGCTTGTTAGAACTCAAATGTTCATAAGGTAATTAATATGTCAAATTCAATGTAATATTTTTACTAGATATCTTTATGTTTGTATTTAATATATTTTTGTTTTTGATATTACTTTTTTGATAATTACTCTTAGATTCATCGAAGAAAGAAGTTTTGTATCTGATATGGATATGGCTGGCCTAGCTTTTTTTGATGAATGTACTGAACGTGTGGAGGAAGAGAATGGTAGAAAAATTTATGTTACTTTATATTTTTTATATTCCTATAATATTTATATATTAATAGATATTTATTTAATCATTATCATAAATATATAAGATATGAAAAATTTCATTTTATTTTTAAAATTTATAGTTACACTCTTGGAATTGGATGAATCTCAACATAGCGAACGTACAGTATTTATACCTCCTCCTGATGCAGGACCAAATCATGGACTTTTTATATATAAAACGTTTAAATTAAATTCTGAATTAATGAGGCCTGAAAAAAACTTTAATTTAAGAAATCCAGCTTTAAATGCTTTTGGAATTGTACCTGGAAGTCCTATGGCACGTAGGACTAAGCATGAAATAAAAGTAGCTCAGAAAATGGCGCGGAAACAGGTAAATGATCGTTAACAATTATATCCAAATTATTGATTAAATTCTTTGAATATTTTTTGATATTATTTATTTTATTTACAGGCAGCAATGCCAGATAGATGGGCTAGATGTTTACTTGGGACATGCTACAGTCTTTGGTTTCTACATTTACCAGCAATGTTACAGGCTTCCAGTCAACCAGCTGCAATTTTGCATCAAGCATATGAATTATTAGTTCGCATGCAAAAATTACATCTTGATCCTATGGAAGAGGTATTATATAATAGTATGAATGTATATATTTGATATAAAGGATAAATAAACATTGCATTTGTTTGTAGGTTTGTTACAGAGCTATGATGCAACTTTGTGGAGTATATGGACAACCAGTATTAGCTGTTAAGTTATTATTTCACATGAAACGTAGCGGTGTACAGCCAAATGCCCTAACATATGGATTTTATAACAAAGTTCGTGATCTCTTTTCAATTATATATTATAACATATTTGCATATTATATTAATATACTATTTTTTACTATTATCGCAGGCTGTCCTAGAAGCAACATGGCCTTCTGATATGACAAATTCAAGTCAGTTAATGTGGAATAAATTACGAAATGTTATTGTTGGGGCAGCTTTGTTTAAAAAGGCTGGTAGGAAAGGTGCCAGAAGAAGACATAATTCCAATGCTGATTTTTTAAATACTGATGGAATAACTGAGGAAATGGAACATGCTCTTTCCAGATCTAGCCTTGATAGTAGTCATTCTCAAGATACAGAAGCAGCTCATAGTGACTGTAAGTCATTTATTATTTATAAAAATATATATTTAAAAAAATTTAGGAAATAAATATTATTTAATATTAAATTCTTTGTTGTTTTGTTTTGCAGCAACAAAAGGTAGTTCTGTGCCTGATTTACCAGGATTTGGATCATATGAATTGAAAACTAAGCTTCTTAGACAAAACAGTATCGTAAAAGATCAAGCGTTGCCGAATATGGTGCAATCAGAGAAATTAAATCGTTCTTTTAGTAATCCAAGGTATTATACAGAATAATAATTATCATTAGTTTTGGATGTATCCAACAGGATGATTATGTACCGTTTATGTTATGCACGAAATATGCATGTATAAAAATATCTGCTATCTGCGTATTATACTTCTAAAAAGCTTGCATTGATGATACTATGTTACGGTGCTGGTATAGAATAGTACGCAGTACCGAATCGCCATTGAAGAGTCCTGTACGAACACCTGTTACTGAAAATGATCCATTGGGGGCTCTAATTAATGATGAAACGCCAGTTGTATCGCCTTCTGAGGAAAATGACTCCAATTGCTCAACCAGTACTTTAACAGTTTTGAATAATACTGTTGAAGAAAGACCAGGTGGACCACTTTTATTTAGAAGGTATACAAAATGTTATATTATCTAGTTAAAACTAATGTGGCATGATCACAGCTATATAAAGAAAATATTCATTTTAAATATAAAATATAATTATAGTTTACACGATACTTTATTAATTGCTTTATTTACATATTAGTGCTTATCGCATTTTTCTTTTTTATTTGTGAGACTTGCAAATTATTTTCAGTAATAATTTACCACGGAGTGCAACATTTCATCAAGCAGTAGATGAAAGTAGTACAACAGTAAGTGGTAATTTACAAAGGAGCGAAACGATGCCTCATTCAGTAGCACCACCAGGTGAGGAGAGAGAAAAAGAGAGACTGGAAATAAGCAGTCTTTGGTCGCAAAAGGACAGTGTGACATCTAGTTTATCTAGCCTAGGATCCAGTTTAAAACTTAGTTTTGGGTAAGGCAGAAAATTATATAGTTAAGATACAAGTATTTTCTAATATACATTGTACGTAGATTTGTAAAAAATATGTTAATATCTATATATTCGTAATAACTATTAATTATTGTAATTGTAAATTTATACGATAAAAATGAAACAAAGTAAATAGGAGAATGCTTGTACTATCTTATAATTAATTAATATTTTTGTATATATTTAATTTATCAGGTAATGTAGTTTCTCATTCAGTCTTTTCATTCTAAATTCAACTTGATTTTTTTTCATTATTATTTTGCATGATTGTTTTGAGTTCTTGTATCATTTATTAATGTAGACGATACTCAGCCAGTGGATTAGCATTTACTAAAAATAAGGAATTAATATCATCAAATCAACTCATCGAATCTCTTAGTCTATCCAGTTATATCAGGTATGTGATATCAATGCTCATTTTAAAGAAACAGAAATTGCTTAAGTATAATTTTTTATTTAGTTATGCACAATTTCATTTTAATAGGAAAAGACTGTACATCCAGGCAGTGTTTGTAATAATAATTTTATATCTCTTTTATTATCAATAATTCTATTTATTTTTCTAGTCCATCAGGCTTGACTGGAAAAAGATCCAATGAAATAATATTGGGTGGCTTGAACAGTTTGAAATCAGCTGCAACGAGCGTTGCTAAAAAGTTCGACGAAATAAAAGAAGCTATATCTGCAACCAGTACTCCTGTTAAACTTAAAGAACGCGATCAAAAATTAGGATGTGGAATATCACATGAATCATTAGATTCTTGTACTGATGGATCCTTACAAGATCGAAATGAAGTATCCGCGAGATTATCTGGTGCGTTATATAATTGACATCTGACATTTTCTTAGTCAGAAGAATGATAGAGATAATTGCATATACAATAACAAATGTACATGTGTTATATTGATGCAAATATTATGACTGACTAAGGAGATGTTGGAATATCTGTTTTTATTCTTACAATGTAGATGATATTCTGTTTTAAATAGGTGATGGAACTTTAGATGTATATCTGTATGAACTTGGGGAATGTCTATATCCTAAAGGTTCTAGAGACTTAGAAGAACGTGCTGCTATTGAATTTGTTCTTTCAAGTGCTAGCAGATGCCATCATTGTGCTGCAATACTTTATGACGAAGAAATTATGGCAGGATGGCAACCAGAAGATTCTAACTTAAATACAGTTTGTCAGTATTGTGACAAGGCTACCGTCCCCCTTCTTACAGTTACTATATTAGATTACAGGTATATAAAATTAAAAATATTATAACATAGTTATTATTAAATATTAAGCTTATGTGTATTTTTGTTTATTAAGATGTAAAACGAATGAAAAAAGCAGTGATCCTTTGATGGGAGCTTTAGTTGAACTTTCGGATAAACCAAGGGAGCAATTGGAACCAATTACGATACCATATCTAAATCCATTGGTTTTAAGAAAAGAATTAGAGAGTGTATTAAGTCAGGAAGGTGATGTATGTTTAACCAGACATATATTCATAGAAGAACATCCAATAGTGTATTGGAATCTAATATGGTATTTTGAAAGAATTAATTTAACAAGCCATCTCTCTGATCTTTGGTTGCATAATGATGCAAACAAACAATTACAAAGCAACTCTAATTGTGTGAGTATAAGAACAATGTGGGATAACGAGAGAATTCATATGGGTCGATTACCGATGTATCTACAGTGGAAACTGAATACTACAGAAGATCGAACGTAAGAATTGCTATACTTTTTGTATACGATATTAGCATGGCTTCTAAAATTATATATTGAATGTAAACGTACTGAGTTGGCAGCTTTTGTTATATTATATGTGTAATATTTTTTAGTAGAAATATGAGTTACATATTTTTTGAGATAAATATAATTTCCTTTTATTTGATTAAGTTTATTTTATATATATATATATATATATATATATATATAAAATATCATTTTATTATAGAATTTATTTTTAGATACAAATAATTATGTATAGAACAAAGACTATTAATGTTATTACAGCGATTAAGTGTTATTCAGATATTATTTATTGTTCATTTTTAGGCATTAGATATTTCTAAGGGATTTTAAAATAATTATACATACAAAATTGATTATGCATAAAATATGCAACAATACTGAGTATTATATAATTTAATGTGTATTAACAAGTTCTTTAACTGCCACCAGGTTGTATATAAGAAGCGTATCAAAGTTTTAATGAAAACTTGACTGTTTTTATACAAGAGCATTAAGTTGTATTGTTCCAAGTGTGATACATGACATACAGATCAAATATTTTTTGTATATTTTATTTTATATTATATATTTGTCATATTGTAGATATCTGTCAAGATGTTTTGTATGTTAGACTAATTCTATTTAAATGAGGGAAAGTAATAATGCATGACATTAATATTTGTACTGCTTAGAAAAACATAATTTATGCTCTTGGTATATAATCCATATCACATTATGTAAAATTAATTATCAGATAGGCACGTGAACTTGTGCACATCATTTCTTGTTATTGTAGCAGCATGGGCGTCTGTAGGAATGTACCTTGAAAATCAGTTAAAGTAAAAGTTATATTGTTATAAATCTAAATTATTTGCACAGTAAAGTGTGTTACATATAAAAATATTTAATAAAAGATTAGAATTTTTGCGATTACAGGAGAGGCTGTATCTGCTTGGTTTATGCATTCAACACCTGCAGACGTCCATGTATCCAAACTGGGATTCTATACTAACTCTTTGGCATCAATTTATTTGAAGGAATATAAAATTATGCTAGAATATTTTTCTTATGTTCGCAAAATTGAAATTTTCTGTCTAATAAGTCGTAACTCGTAGTTTAAGGTAATATTATTCAATGCTGTAAAATGGATTATCGAGAAAGATAGTTTATAGTTTTAATTAACTTGACACTTTCAGATTAATGCAAACGATAATATCATACGTACGTTGCAATGACTTGACAGAACCTATTAAAAAGGTGGCCTTAGAAAGAAGTAAAAATCAATCCGAAGAAGAAGCTCCATTTTCTATTTATAGAGATATTTTGTTTCTGGCATTTATTGCTGTGGGTGGAGGAAATATTCACCAAGGTAGAATTTTTTCAAGATAAAATTAGACTAGGCATGCCTATATAGCATATGTTTTATATATATATTTAATTGTTTAAATTATTATGTTAGATTTATATGTTCGTTTTACTACATTGATATAATCATTTAATTGATGAATTATAATTTTCAGGAGTTTTCGATAAACAGTACGCTTCTGCTTTAGAACGATTAACAGAAAACGAAGAACATCTACTTCATAAGCAGGATGCCCCTCCGTCCCTAATGTCACTATATTGTAGACATTATTTTAAACAATTAATCGTTTAAAAAAATTATTGAACGCAATGGGTATTACGTTAACCACAAGATACTCGTGACAAATTTTGGGATAAAGTTTAATGGATTAGACTTTAGATCAAATCTATAAGATTGAATGTACAATGCACGCAAATATTTCTAATATCGTGACAACAATTGTGACAAAGATCATAATGAACCACAAAAATGTTGTTACATTATTTTAACAAAAGTAATAGTTGGTTTTATTTTACTGATTTTTATTATTCGTTGTGCGTGCGGGCCAAAAAGTAACATGTCAACACATTTAATGACTTAGGATTTTTTCAAAATGATACATATGCGTCTAATGTATGTTATTTCCGTTTTCAATCAATTATTAAAATTATTTTTTCAATCATATGCAATGAAAATCTAACTATGCATATGCATCGTTAAATCTAAGAGTATAATATAGGAAAATGCTAAATACCAAAAAATTTATAAACAGCAAAATAAAACGTCATTGTATTTTTTCAGATATTTGACGAAATTTATTATTTCAGTTCGTTTTACATAAATTATTGCGTTTCTACGTTCAAAGTGGAACTTTACTATCTAGACTACAAAAGTGTTTGCTTCTTTTACATCGAAAAAGAAAAACACGATGTTTGTGAAATTGAATATTTAACTTATATGAGCTGGTAATATATTTTCCTATACTCTTAGATAGAACAAGCATACATTTGTACGACCAAAAACACAATGTAAGTATTGGTTTTATGTATCGTACACTTTCTGGAGGTTATAATATTAACTAGCAATATGTAAATTTTGGCCAATATCTGGTTAATAGCATATATGATCTTAAATACGTAGTTTTGGAATCAAATATGTGGATTTAGAGCGATGGTATTACTTAATGTGAGGGGATATTGAATCTATAAGCTCTATTTAAAATAATGAAAGATCTAACGGAGCGATTAGAAATAACGAGCTAGAATTTTAGATTACTTTGTATAAAATAGCAGGAAGAAGGATTGCCACATGATGAATGAATGAAGGTTGTCCTTATGACATGTATGTTTATCAAAGCACGTATGCATCGATGCATTTTGTGTTTCCTTATGGTAAAAAAAGAAACTCGCAACAATGAATAATATTATTATAGAATATCTCTTATAGAATATCTTCTCCTGCCTATTTTCTCTTGTGCTTTCAATTTTTTATGCCATGTACATTTTACCTCGAATACTGAACAAACAAAAAACAAACAAACAAACAAATAAATAAATAAAAACTTAAAATAAATAAATAGATGTAATATTGCACGCGCGCTCACACGTATAAGCATACATACTTATAAACACATTAACAAATGACATATATAGTAAATCCATAAAAAGTCGATATCTCGACATATTTTACAAAAACAATATCGTCCGTTTAGTAAATGTGGCATAAAAATCGCGTGTCTTAATTGTAAATACAATTGACGATTGATACAAATTAAATTTATTCGACAGTAATATTTAGTATTTTTATTAATTGCGCTATATCGCGCGCAGAATATTAAAGTTATTGCGCAGTCCGATTTTATAATGAAATGGAATGCTTGCCAATTGCATGTGCATATAAGTACTTGTATATAAAAGCGCATGTATACTGATCGATCTTGCGACACATGAAATGATTCGTTATGTAAAATTTGCATGTATACAAAATAAGAACATGAACAGAAGAATGTGCATGTGTATAGCCTTGTATATGCACCATAATAGATATGCGTATTAACGATGGATTTCTTTGGCAATATTGTGCAATACAGGACTGGCTCGTTTTCAATTAAACTATTAAACTATTTAATAAAATATTGTGTATATACGAACAAATAATAAACATTCGATCGTAATCGTTCCGTGGAAAATTAATCACGATTAAAGCATAGTGTATTTTGAGACGTGAAGAAAGTATGTAGTTATTAGTAATTTTCTCTCTTTTTATTTCTCTCTCTCTCTCTCTCTCTCTCTCTCTCTTTCTATCTATCTCTCTATCTTTCTCTGTGTTTTTATTTTTTATTTTTATTGTGTATCTTAAAGATATATATTTATATGAACTTTCTCACATCGATATAATTTTAACTTCTCATATTATTTTAATAAAATAATTCCTCATGTTTTATAAAAACGGTCCATCCTGTATCTATATGAATTATTATCAACCAAATGTTGATGAAGCCATATATATATATATATAAAAAACTGTAACTATTTTCGATAATATACCGCCTTTAAACTTAACAGGACGAGTATGCACTATGACCTTTCATTTTCCTTAATGTATGTACAAAGCAATAATGGTACTAAAATGCATTATTTACTTAGCAATGCAAAAAATATAAAGGAGAATACTGTTTGTAAAGAATATATGTATATGAATTTTTAGTAGAGAACATTTGATACAGTATTTTATCTGAGCATCACGCGCGAGCGCGAAAGTTATAATAATAAATACTCGAGAAGGATATATAATCGTATACAGAATGAACAGATTGCAAATAAATTCGTATAAAAAAAAATACAAAAAAAAATACAAAAAATATATATATATATGTTAAGTTCTATCATCAGTTCGTTTGTTATTCACAATATTTATTATACTAAATATAAGCATCTTAGATGATTTGAAGAACGATCTCTGATTGAAGTGAGAATTTTATAAATTCTACGTTTCTTTTCCTTTTTTATGTGTAGTGCAAAAGAGAATAAAGAATTAATTGTGATTAATATTATATTTAGTATGCGTAGTACCGGAGTTCCTAAACTATTTTCTTTTCAATATATATAAAAATCATTTCTCGTTCTTCAATCTTTTAAAAAAGAAGATAATCAAATATATATGTATATATATATATATGCAATATAAATTATGTTTATTTAATAATAAACAGTACGTTCCACAGATAGAGACAACAGATATATAGACATATATACATTCACAGTTTCAAAAGCAGAAATAACGAAATAACACATGTGCCTTGTAATTATATACATACATAAATGTGTATATATATATATACTGCGTAGAAGAGTTATATTGACGTCATTCCTTCGTATACTTTTTGTATAATATATTAGATGATATTAAAAAAAAAGAAAAATGAAAAAAATAGAAATTATTGTACGTCTATCTCATTAACTCTAGACACAATTAAAAAATTATATTATATTATGTACATGTATATATACATAATATATATTATGCAGTATATTGAAACAAAAATGCTGATGGCGTCCTAATAGGAATTAGTCTCTGACTACCGCTTCTATCTACGACTATGTAATAATTACGTCCATTAATGTTATGTCGTTTACCCAAAAAAGATGTATTCCCTTCATTATGATGATATAATGGTGGTGGACTTCTTTTAATTAAACTAAAGTTATTATTCCTCCAATAATTATTATTAGTAGTATCGTATAAAGGTAATCGCGATGCCGATAAAGATTGTTCAGAATTTTCTTGGTACTTAATAGTTTGTTTTGGAATCTTAGACGATTGCCTCGCATTTTTCTTATTCTTGCAATAATTAATATATTTAATAATTAATTCTATGATGAAAACTATCATCGCAATAATATATCCAGCTGCAATAACTTCATAAGTCAAATATAAATCGGCGTTTCGAAGTTGTCTTTCCGTTGATTGAAGATCCACTGGACAAACATTAGCCAACGGAAGATCACTTTTTTTCTTATGTTTGATTAAACCGGATTCTATGAGAGAAGATAATCTGCAAGAGTATAGTAAATATCTCTTAACATTTTGAGTATTTGGCATTATCATAAAGAGTTCTCACGAACTAAGGTTTACGAAAGGTTTTGCAATGTTAATAATAAATAGATGATCTTACACCATATTAATGTCATCCACGATAGTCGAATTTAAAGGGAAAGCAAATGCCCGATTTCTTGAAAGAATACTTCCAGGCATGATGACATAAGTACAACGTTTGTTGTGCTCCAAACCTTCACGAGTTTTATTTATATAATCCTCAAATAATAACTTTCGAAAATAGTGACGTTCTCCGAGATAAAGTTTTTCTATATAATAATTAACATTAACAAAGAATATATTTGATCAATTTAATGTTCATCTCTAATCTCATTCTATAATTAATTAGGAAAAATGTACATACTATTTTCAACAGTATCAAATATGTAACTTGCTGGCTCATTGTACATCGTGATATATTCTCCTTGAAATGTGGTTTGGTTTAACAATGTTAATTCATTTATATAAGGCTGAAAGTAATGAAACGATCGTTAAATGTACAACTATTACGAATAGTACTTTAGTACGAAAATGGTACAATTAAAAACTGAATATTAATTATATTGGAGAATATTAAACCTGAGATAAGAGATAATCTATCACACGTCCTTTAAAAGTGACCCATTTGTATCCTTTGTTCACTATATCTTTTATATTGTTAATTGGTAATGTAAATTGTGGCTTTGTAAGGAATGCTGTCAAATTAGCGGTATAAAATGAAGTAAGAATTAATATAAAAATCCACCAAGTAGCAAAGAGCATCCTTGTTGAATCTAAAATAATAATTTCATTTAACTATATTACTGATATATTAACATATATGTATATATTGAAATATATACACGAGCGTATGAATAACGTACATGTAAACAAATTATGTAAAGTTTAAGTTCTTTCAATATGAACCATATTAATAGTATATATATATACATGCAATATACCTGTTTGAGCGATGATCGTTGATCCTTGTTTAAGTAACGCACTGTAGACAAACCACATGCAAGATGGTAAATTGTAATTTTCCCCTTCCGTACCTTTCCAAAGTTTCAACCTACATTAAAATTATTCTTATTGATTTTTCAATAAATCATTTTTTCCTATATATATATATATATAAATATTTCGATCGAAAGTTGTACTATTAGACAATAATCGAAAATGTTTTAGTACAAATAGACAACGCATGAAAATATTCACCAATATATATGCAAACTATTGCTCCCATTTAATGAAAAAATAGAATGTTAAAAAAAAAATTTGATTTTTTCATTTCTTTACAAACCTAATCAAAGAAAACAAATAAATTATCGGGCCTACAACTAATACAGCTGTAAGAACACAAAACCAAACGGTATTGTCAAATGGTGCTAGAAGACCAGAACTAGTTGCAGATTCTTCAGGTCTTTTCATCATTGCTGTTAATTCGAACACGTCTAATGTCGTGCTGAATAAACAATATTTACGTAGATCTTCTAATACGGGTACGAATGCAGCGATCATGTCTACTTCCTGTTAAAAGAAAACAGAAAAATTTGTAATTAAAAACAATATTTATTATTTTTTTTTATCATGAAGAACATATAAAAATTCTTACGTTTTTATACAGCATGCTTATAATTCCTCTATTCTTATTTCCGAATATTTGTCCCTTTGGTGGTATAACAGTGTAAGTGAAATTCAATTTATCACTCAGAAGATCGAGAATATAAAATGCGTATCCTGTTCCAACCCACTGGCCATTTTTTTGAATTATTCCGGAAAACGGCATATCCTGAATATATAATTAGGATCTTGAATATATTTATGAAAGTATTATATATCGATTTTAATACGTAATAATTTGGTCAAAGAGAGAGTAAGAAAATATCTTGTTAATAAAACTTACGTTCCACGAAGAAACTTTCAAAACTGAAGGGATTGCCGCCTTTTTTTTATTTTCAAAATCCAGCATATCTAAAAATAATTAATATTAATTGATTTATTTTCTTTTATTTCTAATAGTTCGTACAAATTTGGATCAAAAAATGGAATTTTTTTATTCGTAGATAATATAATTAAAATTAAAAACATTTTTTTACGTTATGAAGATATTTAGCGTTTTAAGAGGACCTCAGTTGAAACAAAAAATCGAAATTTAATAAAATGGTGAAGTTTTAAAAAAAGTTCCAAATATCGTGCAAAAATTGGATGATGTTTGGTCTACCAAAATTTCATTTTTTATTCGATCGAAAAACTGGAGATTCATGGCATGCAGAAATATATATAAAAGAAGCTGCAATAAGAATCAAATCGATCGGATGATTTTTCTTCGAATTATAACTGCAACAAATTTGAAAAATATAGTTTCGAGAAAAACGCGTTTAAAGTTTAAGATTTTATCATTATAAATCAAGAAATATTAGATGGCTATAACTAAAAAATTATTTGAGATATGCATTTGAAATTTTAGTATATTACTTTTAAAAATATAGACTATTGAAATATGAAAAAAAAAAAAAAATCAATCAATATTTCACACTATTGGTGCCCCTTAATGCTCGTACATTCTATACATTATACGAGGATATATTTAATTTGTATTTATAGATAAAAAATACCTTGTTCAGTTGTTTCCGAAGATTCTCTAATGTAAAAAGAAATGTGTATAATTATGGCAAATAAAAAATAATGACAATTATTCATGTTGACACTCGATGAAACTACATTGCGTTGTAGTTGCGTATGTGTTCCGTCTAAGCTTGATGCTCTAAATGAATTTTTGTTTAGACATAACGTGATATGATGTTACCAAGCACTCAAAAGAATCGATCTTTTTACGACTTTTCATACATTTAGACCTAAACGTGGGACATAGTAACACTTTGTTTAGAAGTGTGAGTATATGTCCTACGTCACACAACGGTAAATGTGTTAAAAATGACGATCCTCTTTATGTATCTGTTGAGAATTTTCAAGGACATTTCTACTAGATAACATCAACGTTTATTTCTACGAGAATTCACTTTTATAATAAAGATACTACATTATTCAGTAGAATTTATTTTTCTTATTAAATCATAATGTTTCTATTTTCTTCTTTCTTTTTTCTTTTTTTTAATATAAAATTGATCTAATCGCAATCGACCTTTCGAAAAAATGTTAATAAAAGAAGAAAAGAACGATTATTTAAATTAAATAATAGATTATTTTCTATATAAATAAGTACATTCCTATTGCATAGTTCTTATTTTTTTAAATAAAAGACTCGTTTACCGCGTTTATTCAATTTGAATATTTCAATAAAACTGGCGAATCTTTAAAATGTCTACCAGAAAGCGACTTGTTTTAATACTACAATAAAATTTTAATTCGTAGATAATTAAAAATATACTTTTTACATTTTGCTATGTAAAAATGTAAATGATATTTTTATTGTAATATTATGATCGATTATAAGAAAAGGATGCATGTATATTAYATTATATTTACTTAGTAGTAGTTTAATAATCTGCCTACAGATGTCAGATTTTTAGTTCAACGTTATGCCGCATATATAATGAACGATAATTTTTAATTAGTCAAAATTAAGATAAAAATATTATTTATTCGTAAATGATAAAGTATTTCTACAGCACGTTTGTTAAACAATTCGTAAGAACGATTTGTATTTTTGTTACCTTGTTAATATAAAAATAGTTTTCATGAAAAGAGTCTTTGAGGGAGCGCCTCAAGATTTAGTTTTTGAACGTGCTTGACGACGGTTACGATTAAAAGGAAAGATCTGATTGGACGATAAGTACCGACATTCTCCTTTGTTCGTTCTTTTATTTTTTTGACATAAACTATAAATTGTTGTTGGCGTATGTTTCATGAAGTTTTCCACAACTTCTGGTGTAAGATTATTGAATATCCATTTGAGTATGATCAAAATGTACAAGCAAATTCTTATCTTATTTAGATAATTTTTAATTTATTGCAGCAAAGATAATTCAGTGGACGGTCCTTTCTAGAGAAACCGTTAGAAGAATCCGTTGTGTTTCCGTTTGAACAATCTAGTGCACATCAGTCATCTAAGTGCGCGAACCACTCCCGGCTGGTCTTAACGTGTTACTACCGCGGTAAGTTATTCCATCGTGTTAATTAGATTTTACAAAGATTTTTTTATGCCAGTATGTATTCCGTCTTGAATAAGCGGCAAAGTGATTTATTTCGAAAATAAAATTCATAATTTGACATCTGTAGCACGTTGATAAGAAATATGTCGACCGCAAGTGTTTTATAGAAAGACTGGAATGTCCTTATCCAGCTTTTTATTTCTTCCTTTTTTCTTTCTTTTTTAAATGTTCTTTTTTTCTTTTTTCTTTTTTCTTTTTACTTTTTACTTTTTTTTAGCACAAACCTAATAAATCCTTCTTTTTTCATTGAAAGGAAATAAATTTAAGAACGATATACGTACATTTTTCTTAATTTTGTATGCATATATGACCTACTTTGATATATTCAATATGATTAATGTTTTATTTAATGTATGCGTATAAGCTTAATATATCTCTCATAATGTTATTGTATTTTATTATTGGTACGTGTTTACAGAGATAACAAAATGGCTGTAAATGTGTATGCAACAAATGTGACCACAGATAATCTAAGTCGTCATGACATGTTGGCATGGGTTAATGATTGTCTGCAATCATCGTTCACCAAAATTGAAGAATTATGTACAGGAGCTGTTTATTGCCAATTCATGGACATGCTCTTTCCTGGAAGTGTACCTTTGAAGAGGGTAAAGTTCAGGACTAATCTTGAACATGAATATATACAGAATTTCAAAATTCTTCAAGGTGGTTTCAAAAAGATGAGCGTCGATAAGGTGAGTTATCAATTTCTTTTTTTCCTACGATTAAAATTGACACACCAATTGAGAAAAAGAAATAGGAATGTTTAGATTTAAATAAGATTATAATTCGAAGAATAGTATTATTAGAATGAGAAGATTTATACCGAAGGAATCATTATAAGAAATTACTTTTCAAGATTTTTAAAGGCATAGGATTAATCTTATTATCGACCAAAGACATAGTCGTTTAGTAGTATTCTGTTAATGGAATGTATATGGAAAGCTTAAAGCTATTTATAGAATGAAAAAAGAAAAGAAAAAAGAGAATATGAGTTAATATTCTTGTATTTTGTAAAGTAAAAAATCAACCCCTAAATAAATATTTATATCGTACAATGATTTAGCTTGCTTAGAAGTTCAATAAAATTGTGATGGGGATGGTTCAGGTTATACCAGTGGACAAGCTGATAAAGGGACGCTTTCAAGATAATTTTGAATTTCTTCAATGGTTCAAGAAATTTTTTGATGCAAATTATGATGGTCGTGAATACGATGCCTATGAAGCTCGTGGTTGTATACCGCTTGGTTCTGGTGTCGATGGAACTCATAATCTATCAAATCCTCAATTGGTACCTCTACCTCCTCAATCGAAGCAACCACAAATGCAACAAAAACATACACAACAGCGTAATATATCTTCAAGGCAACAGCAGGGTACTTTATTAGTTTCATTGTAATGTTGCCTTTTTATATAGATCATTGCACGACCACTAATTTATTGCAAATTGTCACTTCATTAGAATTATTTACACATTTCCAATATTTATATAGAATGCAAAGCATAAATATAGAAAATATATGAAAATATGCAACATTCATACATCATGCTGCTTTTAAAAGTAGTTCAAAATTGGCTATGTAAATCATGCCGCTATTATAGTATAGGGGTAGAATTTCTGCTTTGCTTATACATATTTGATCGTATATAATTCCATAAACAAATGCACAACAATGCCTGTTAAAAAATGTACTATTCACTATGGCACCTGGTCCTATATTTTAATACTTCCAATTCATTATATAAAAAATTGTTTATAAAAAATATAATAAATTATGCATGCCATGAATAAATTATATGTTATAAAAATGAGTATTGTTAAATGTAAATTACATTTAATTGTAATTATATTGTGGTGGTATCAGAAGAATTTCAAGGCTGTTATTTTTAACAGTCTATAAATACTTCTAAGTAGGGGGCAACTGTTTGTATTAGGAGACATGAAAAGACCAAAATAATACACATCATTTACTCTATTAAGAATATAGTAGGTGGTACTAAGTATTAAATAATATGAAGAATATACATTTTTATTCAAAAATAAATATTTTATCTTCGATTATAATAAAAAAATTATAACAAAATCTGTAAGATTGCAGCTGAGAAACATAGAAATATTATTTTTCTCAGATAATGTATATTTATTTCACAATTTTAATTACGTGTAAATAATAACAATTAAGTCAGTGCGTTTAAAATGATTAATAGACAAATTTGAAATGTACACATTTTATTTAAGTTTTATATATAAGTTATTTTAAATATATTATTTATATAAAGATACAAAAGAAAAATCATTATAGAACTTAAATAAATTAAACTTTTCAAAGTTAATGAAAATAATAGAGAGAATAACATTATACTACGGTGTTACTTTTAATTTTATATAGGATACATTATTTTGGGTTAATTTTTTATTTTGTTCCATATGTCTTCTACCAATTATTTGCAGATAGTGCCAATTGACAAGCTGGTGAAAGGCAGGTTCCAAGACAACTTTGAATTTTTACAATGGTTCAAGAAGTTTTTTGATGCTAATTACTCAGGAGCAGAACCCTATGATGCCCTTGCTATGCGAGGAGGTGAAGCTATGGGTAGTGGTGGAAATACTGCACCACGTGGCTCCTCTAATGTGAAGCGTCCTACACCTCGTGAAGTAAACCAAGCTAAACCTACCGCTCGTACTGGTATATTATACAAATTTTTCTTTATAAAGACTAATATTGAAATTTAACGATTTTTGCACATAATACAAACGATATTAAGTAATAGCAAACATGGTTATTAGAAGCGAAGATTGAAAAATTATATTATTAATATTTATTTATTAACCTAGTATTAATTTCTAATACTTGTATTATATTTAGAAGTAACATTATTTTTCAGAGAAATGTTCTAATTAAGACACATTATAGTTTACATGATTTATTTCATTAATTACTCTGACATATTTATTTCAATAATTTTATTTACAAATAGTTTTTACATTTATATGAATACATATGACCTGTTAAATATTTCAGTTGTACTTATATGATGTGATGCTGGTCTATTATGTCTTATAATGCAAATTTAAAATTCCCCATAGGTGATGGAACTCAATCCGTACAGGCACCTATTATGAAGCCTTTAAACAAACCTAGTAATTACTTTTTGTATTATTTTTATTTCTTTTGGTAATAATATTTTATTATTGTAAATAATAAAGAAATAATTTAAAATCTTTAAAGTTCTTTTACAAAATCTATAGTATAAGATAAAAGACATCATTATAGAATTAACAATTAATGCAAATTTTTTCTATTAACTACATTCTAACAAAATATACTCATAAAAAAAAGATACATTTAAAAAAAATAATGTTTAGAAGATATGAAGATTGGTTTTTGATAAACTGTTTCAACTTTTTTAATCAAACTAATTAATGACAAATATTTATTGAAATTTTTGTATATAACTCGTTGTATTTTTTTATGTACATTAATGCATGTATTGAAATGTTTATTGTATGGCTATATTTCTTGCATGTGCATGCGTATATATGATTAATATACCTGACATTAAGAACTTTGATTATCACTTGAAAATTAATTTATTTGTTAACAATTAATTTTAGTACGTATGCTATATTAGTAAAGTAGTAGCATTGACTAAAAAACATTTCTTTAATAGGAAATTTTTAACTTTGACAATTTTTGTTTTTAATTTAGTGAATAAAGCTCAACCATTCCGCCCCCAACAAAAGACCGGAACAGCAAATCGTGGAGATTCCGAAAAAGTAGAAGAGCTTAGTGCACAGGTTCGGAAATTGATCAATATTCTATTTGTTCATTCTTTATTCTATAAAATTTAAGGATATAATTATTTTATCATATGTTTTTATTTGCAGCTTGTGGAGCTCAAAATGTCGATCGATGGTTTAGAAAAAGAAAGAGATTTCTACTTTGGAAAATTACGTGACATAGAAGTAATATGTCAAGATTGTGAGAATGGTGATCACCCTCCCATTATACAAAAAATATTAGACGTTCTATATGCAACAGAGGTAAATTGAAATTTTAATTTTTTGGACAATTTATATATTATTAAAAAATTAATTATTTATGTAATATCAGAGTCGACGTACACATTTGCAATAATCAAATTATTAATTTATTTTATATTATATTATTTATGCTAAATCTTTAATAACGTTGGAATTTCAAGCAAACCGACAAACATTATTTTTAATACTTAATTTTAATATAAAGTTTTGTTTGTATCAAAATTATTTCAGGATTGTGAATATGGCGAAGGAGAAAGCAAACAGACATAGTATCATTTTTTATTTATATTTTTAATAGAAGGTCATTCTCTTAATGAAGGCAAAATTATAAAATTATAGGCTTTTATAATACAGGTAATGTTGCAAAATTTATAGGTGTTATTCAATCCGTAGTACGTTGTTTGTCAAGACTCCGTGATCATTATTAAAATGAATTGTGTATTGATCGTATTGGAGTGACATTTTAATAGTTAATTGGAAAGGGGATACTAAATCAAATATTTTGTGAGAATTATTTTACTAAAAGTTAAATATAATTGAATACTATTATACTCTTTATTTTTTTAAAATAGCATTACTTTGTAAATAAATCAAGTGATTGGTACTTTTAGTATTATGGATTCAAACAAGAAAATATTCTATTCTATTTGATAAAACTATTTATATTGGTATTAATAGAATAGATAATTGTAATCGATCGTTTTATTTATTAATGAAAAATGTTTTATACATTAATGTCGTATCTAAAAATTGTTTGATTGTCTAGGATGGATTTGCACCGCCGGAAGAATTAGAGGGAGATGGTTTGGCCCCTGACGATGAGGAAGAGTATTAACATTTTTTTACTATCATAAAAACAAGGACACAGTAAATCATCCAAGTGCATCCTCCCTGTTTATTATATCTGCGAGCCAGTACCAGTACTCCTTGCATAATTAATAAGTCACTCTGTATAGTTGTTCAATTATTTGTGCGTAAGTTTTGTTGCTAATGTTTACGGAGTTTCATAAGGATTTGCACGAGAATTAAGGCCCGACACTTCTATAGTGCACTAGAGTACTTGTACTTGTCGTGTTTTCTTTTTTTTCCTTTATATACTTGCAGTATTTCTGTTCTTCTTAATAACTAGTAACACATACAACAAATTTATTGATTGGTATATAATTTACTTCTAATTATTATTTCCTTTTTAACAACGTTGTTTGTGTTTATAAAAAAATTAAAAGGAAGTGATAATTAAGTAGGAAATAAAATAATTAGTAGTAAATTATACAATACACAATAAGTTCTTCATTATATACCGGCTGCCATGTTTTTGGAGATTTATCATAATAATCATATTTTATTGAGTTAAATGAAATTCATAAATATTTATATTTCACAAAGTAGCCTGAATTGTGATGCAACGAGTATGTTAATTGTTTATTTTGTCTCTGTAAAGTGCAAAGTGCGTTTCTGTTTATAATTGCACTCTACATATGTGTCGATAAACGTCGAAGCTTCTATATTTTGTTTTATCAAATGTCTATATTTTTAGAATATTATGCTGTTAATCAACAGTTAAATGTTAATAATGTCACTTGAGGCATCACTTCGCGTGCAATTCAAATGAAGATTGAAGTCCATTTTTTGATGTGAGATAGTGCTCTACGCCAATTATATCGCGATGTTGATTTTAATTTTTGTAATATAACTGGAATATATGTAAGAAAGTTTTAGTATTTTGTGGTGCAAGATTTAAAAAAAAGAAAAGAAATATATCCTAGTGATTCTTTCGTCATTAACGATGCGATGGCACAATACGCATAAATAAGAGTAAAGTTCAATATGAAAGAATTTCAAACGAAATCGTAGAATTAGTCGCAAGTTTTTTAAGAAAAAACCTTCTTTTATATCATATTCTCTATACTTAGGTTGAAAAATATCTATTTACATATTATTAAATTTACCCTTTACAACTTATTATATGCTATACTTTTATTAATAACATTTGATATATATCGAACGTTCTGAAAATAATTGAACAGTCCTTTTAAGTCATTTTCTTGATTCACTAACCTAAGTCAGATTAATGAGACGAACATGTTTTACACGATCTCACGTTGGACAATATACTATTCATCTTAATGATAATAATAATAATACTACTACTACTACTACTACTAATAATAATAATAATAATAATATTGATATTAATAATTAAAATAATAATATTAATAGAAAAATTCGCTAAACGCTTCTGGTGTCAAATTTCCATCGATTGCAAGAGATGTGAGTTTATCAACTCACCCGTTTTATTTATTTCAATTAATGTATGTATGATAATAATTATTGTTAGAGCAGTGCACGTGATTAAGGAAAAACAAAAAAGAAAAAAAAAAGGAAATTACTCATTATTAATGCTAAATCGAATCTTATGGAAAATTCTCAATTGCGCGCAAAGCGGTTTTGAATGTTACAATGAATGTACTACTTTTTTGAATGCTATTATGAAATAGCTCTATATATAAAAAGAAAAAAGGAAACGAAAAAAAAAAAGTAACATAATACGCAATGTTTCTTGAGGATATAAATTTATAAAGTTGTGTGATAAAAAATACTAGGAGGTGGAAGAAAACAAAAATATGTATGAAAGGATGAAAAGCATGGAAGATTAATCAAACGCGTGTATGATGATGGTATGCATCGTGTATTACGTGTGCTCTTGCAAATTTAAAATTCAATCTTCGAAGGGGATTGAGAGAAAAGGAAGTGGCTGAAATTGGGTTTGTTACAAATTCCATGTAAAAGATTAAAAAGACATCAATAATTTTTAAACGATTGTCTTAACAAAAAAAAAGAAGAAGAAAAAAAGGAACTGAAGAAATGTTTCGCCTATATTGTCGAAGTACAATTAAAGAGAATCAATCAATACTATACGTACGACTTGCTCTGAATAATTTTTTTTTTAATAAAAGATATAATTCTTTAGTTTGTTTTTTCAGCTTGCGCCTTATTCGTTCGTATATGTATATGTGTACAACAAAGTTATTAAATAACACGGTTGTGCTTTGAAACTGCATTCAACGATGTAATAAACGTTTAATAAAATTAATATGGGCGCTGTTACACGTAATTTGTTTGCAATTTTTCTATTGAAAAGGAAAAAAATGAGAAAAAAAAAAAGAAAAATTGTGCTTTATCGTATTGCTATTGATAAAGAGTCGCTTTACAATATATGAAGCTCGATGATGTATCGATACTCTCATGTCAAATATACAAAGACATATCCATCTTTTTGCACATTTCACAAATATCGACAAATCAATATTATTCATTAGGATTGCGAATATGTGAAAAATATTTTTAATAGAACATTTAAAATAATGTTAAATTTACGTGATATATATTAATTAATTAACACGATTATTTACCGCAGGGTATTTTATCCAATCAATTTTTTCATAATTTCATAAATTTGTAAGCTCTCTCTCTTTCTCTTTCTCTTTCTTTCTTTTCCTCTCTCTCTTTTTCTTTATCTCTCAAATTTAGGATATATATATTTTTTGAGGATTGTTCAAGTTCTTAGATATCTAGTCCGTTAAACGAGATTATATATCCCTTACCTTCCTCGATTTAAGAAAATCATTTTCAATGACTGATATGTTATCTTTTACTTTTTATTACTAATATTAGATACGCATAATTTAAGAAAATTAAATGAAATGACCTTCATATTATGTAGATGATACATTAAGAAATAAATAACTCGTAAGAAATGAACGAATAATTAACACAATTGTTGTGAATCTCATTTATAGCAATGTGAAAATACGTAAGTTGTATCTTAGTACAATATAATATATTGTTTAAATATTACCGCCGTATGAAATGACGATCGATTGTTACCTGTGATTCGATAAGTATCGATAAATGATAGAACCGTCATTGAACTTCAAAACAAATCTGATAACATTGCTTTAAAAAGCAATACCGAATTTTTACACAAGAAGAAATGGCTTAAATTACTACCTTCTCAAAAAAAGAAAATACTTTTTCGATAACATAAATYAAATTAAATCAAGTGTAATGTAATCTTCAAATTGGTAAACGTATAAATTCAAGTACGATGTCTTCATTGATCGTAACACATGATCAACGCATCATGATGTTAGAATTTGCAGTTGAAAATGTAAAGATCGAAAATACAATTCGATAGTTTCTCCCGCCAGAATTTAAATCGTTATTATCAACTTTTCGTTTGTGTAGTTGCACGTACCGCAGAATTCTATCTTTGACAAAGCTATTTTAAAAAAGGTAACGGTAATGTTTCGTTTCTTGGATGAGGATTGGACAGAACTTTTACCAAATCGACGCGATTATCGTTCTTATCGTGGTTCCAATTATGAAAATGAACGATTTTATGGTGGACGTTCGGTAGTCTTCGCATTGCCTGAATCATCTTTAGAAAAACCCATGAATGCGATCGATGTTCAAGTTTACGTATTTAAAGAGATTTGTGATTATTTTGAGCTCGATTCTTGCGAGAATGTTGGATTCACATTTTTAAGGGTTGATCATTTGATAAATGCAATTATTAAGGAATTACAAGAACGTAAAGAACTTGGTCCATATTTATGCAATTCTCATGAAAATGACCCTATTTCGAGGTATAATATTCGAAACGTACGATCCATTTAATTTACACATAAATTAACTTAACAATGATTACAATTGTAGATCATTAATAGGAACTTATACGTTGATGAACGATGATTTAAAGGAAACTGATGCTACGATCAAAATATATATACGTATCACTTATCTTGGTAATTGTATTATTACCGAATTTGAGAATACCAGAGGTATTAAAACTGCATTTCATTGCCGTAAGGATAATGCCGAAGGATATCCATATCAATTACGTGAGTTAACATCAGAGAACTTTCGGACTGGTTGTTGGGGTAGTCAATCCTATCTGCCACCGGCAATTTTAAAGAAGTTGAAGTGTTATTGTGAACAAGATAAGATAAAAAAACAAATGTTAACTCAATTGACAGAAGCTTCTAAAACTGTTCATGAAGCCGAAGCTACCAAAATTGCTCGCGAAGACGAAGCTGATACAATTGCTCGCAAAGACGAAGTTGATACAATTGCTCGCGAAGACGAAGCTGATACAATTGTTCGCGAAGCCAAAACTGCTGCAATTGTTCACGAAGCCGAACCTGCTAAAATTGCTCGCAAAGCCAAAATTACTAAAAGGGCTCATGAAACCGAAGCTGCTAAAATTACTCGTGAAGCCAAAACTACTAAAATTACTCGCGAAGCCGAAATTACTAAAATTACCCGCGGAGCAGAAGCTGCTCATATTAGCAAATTGAAAGGTCTTGAGAAAGAAGAATCTAAAAAGAAGAAGAAAAAGAAAAAGATTATAGATGCTGATGCTCATATTTTTGCTAATATTGATAATCTTTATAACGAAAAAATTCGTTTCATAATGCAAGCAATGAAAAAACGAAAAGCTCGTGGATTGGGTGGTGCAGGAGTAGCTTTTTCTAGAAGAGATGGAAAAAAGATTTGTCCTCCATTACTTGCTACATCTCCTATTCATATTTGTTCTCCAATTGTTGGACCTTGCTCTCCTTGTCCGAATTTCTTACCTTGTTTTGGTTCACAAGCTCTACCATTTGCTACATGTTGCTTATAAAGTTAAATACAATTACAAATTTATTAAATTTTAGTTGTTTATTTTTTTTTCATTATTATTTTGCAAATTTTTAAAATTTGTTTACAAATATACATTATATAGTAATAGATTTCTGCCCTAACCGACAGTTGACAAAAATAGACAATCTTTACAATAATTTTATAAAATATTTAAATATTTTTTTTGTTAAACATACTTTTATCTTTTGTAATTCGTCTACTTTTTCTTTGATATTAGTTTTTTTCCTTATAAAAATTATTTTGAATTCAAATTTTAATGCTAGGTGGTAGCACTAGTTTTTGGCGTAACTGACTATATTCACTTTACTAAGAAAAATGTAATAGGGTTATGTTTGTTCTTCTGAAATAATAACAGATATTGTAATTGCTGAGATATTAATATTGCGAGAATAATTAATTTGTATAAAAAGGTATATGATTTTTCTGGAGTTATATATTATAAAGTTTAAATTATTGTAATATAATTTTATGTAAGTCAGTTATTGCAGTCATGTAAATCCTAATTTTTATTGTAATCTAAGGTATCCTTGAATTGCCATCATGTTATCTCGCACAGCTGTATTAAAAATTGCATCAAGAAGTATTAGCACTTCTGTCCCCTCCAATCAAATTATTAAATTAAGTCGTTTAAGGGTTGTTGATAACAGTGAAATTGGAAAAAAAGCTATGCTGGAAGGGAAACCACCACGTTGCATTCACGTTTATAATAAAACAGGAGTTGGATATATTGGTAAGCAAGTAAAAAAATGTTTTACTGATAATGTTACTTTGAAATATATTGTAAAATAATATTTTATTCTAACAAAGGTGACAGAATATTAGTTGCTATAAAAGGTGAAAAGAAGAAAGGCATATTAGTTGGTTTAAAGCAAAAGCAAAATCCGAAAGTACCCAAATTTGATTCCAATAATTTAGTTCTCATAGACGACAATGGCACACCTTTAGGAACACGAATACATGTACCAATACCTCATATATTAAGAACATTGTTAAAAGAGAAAACTCATAGCAAAGGAGCAGATTATACTAAGTTACTTGCTATTGCATCAAGATTTGTATAAACTTTGTCGAATGCATAGATTTCTCTCTTTGCAAAGTTTACATAAAATAAGATATATAATAAATATCATTTATGCGAACTATTGATATTTATTTCGTATCTTATTCTTATTTTCTATTGTTTTCGTTGTTCTAGTAAATAATAATAGTACAATAAAATGAAATAAGTGTAATTCTATTCAAATCAACGCGCCTTCGTAATAATCGATTGTTAGATATGGCGACTAGCTTTTGAACCAATAGTAACGTTTCGTTCTACTTCTACGTTTTCCCTAGATTGTTAGTATTCCTATTGGATAAAAATATGAAGTGTCATACATTAAACAGATGTGAAAGTTAAATAATAATTATTTGAAGACAAGATTGTAAATAAAGAGATCACGTTTAATGATCATTACAAAAATATTGAATTTATTTCTTATATTATATGGAAATAAATTATAGAAAAAAGGAAAAAAATTGAGTACTATGAAGATAGGCATAAAATGATTCGTCTATGAACTAAGTGTATAACGTTAAGGAGGAAAAGAGGAAACTCGTGGTCTAAGTGGCAGTGGTTGTCCTCCTTTACAAATGGCGACTTACGGTGAAACACGCCGAATTTTATAACCGCCAGAGTAGATAGATTGCATTCGTGTAAGTAAATGGTTAAAGTGTTAACAAGACTTAATAATAACAATAACATTGATTAGATAGATTGTGGGCCAAGGAAAGTGTTTTAAACTTATTGGAACAAAGTAAGGAAACTAGAAAAAATGGGAAACGTGTCGGCTTCATCTGCACCTCCACCACCTCCGCCACCAACATCAGTTCCTGCGGTTCCTCTCCAATTTGAAAAGACAGATTCTACGACCGGGGTTGCACCGTCTACTCCGATCTCGGATCGTCTTGAAAATCCTGGCACGATTGAGGACCTACATAAGAAGTGCAAAGGTATTTTATTACATATATGTCATTAATGGAAACTTAATATCTTTCTTAAATATAAACTTTCACCGGTTTTCACATTTTTATGAATTAAAATATAATTATTTTTGTATTTTTTTATTATTAGATATTGAAAACATAACTGTTCTTTTAATTAACATTATTTTTAATCTGTTGTTATTCTTACCTAAATTTTAATTAAGATGTAACAGAAAACATAAATTTATAGTTTGTTACATTAGATTCCTTTTTTTTGTTTGGTTTTCAAACTGATTAAACTTTTCACAGATGTACTCCCTGTTAATTTTGAAGGAGCAAAGTTGATGTTAAATAAGGGTCTTAGTAACCATTTTCAGATTTCTCATACAATCAATATGAGTTCTATAACACCGTCTGGATACAAGTATGTTGAATTAAAGTATTTGTTTAAATGACAATGGTTATGCAAACATTGCATATGCATGACATTTTTTTTTTCAGATTTGGTGCAACTTATGTGGGTACTAAACAAATATGTCCCACCGAAGCTTACCCAGTTTTATTTGGTGATATTGATCCAACTGGAAATTTAAATGCTAATATAATTCATCAATTAGGGCAGAGACTAAGGGCTAAAGTAGCAGTTCAAGTACAAAGAAGCAAATTTACTGCTGTACAAATGACAAATGATTATCGTGGTGATGCATATACAGCTTCTGTTACGTTAGGCAATCCAGATATTCTTAATGGCTCTGGTAAATATATCGTATAATATAATATAATATAATAAAAATAGAAATCAATTAATGTATTATAATATACTATTTTACAAAAGAATAATTCAAAATATGTTCTCCAGGTGTTTTAGTAATGCATTATCTTCAGAGTCTTTCTCCCTCTCTTGCTTTGGGAGGTGAACTTGCATATCAACGAGGACCAGGGTTACCTGGAGGACACATAGTGGTTGTATCAGCCGCTGGCAGATATACAAATGGAGAGTCTACGATTAGTTGTAGTTTAGGTTAATATATATCATTTTATTTTTAATAAAATTAAGATTTGATCAATTACTTCGTAATGTAAAATTTTTATTTTTTGTATCAGGTCTTGCAGGTTGTCACGTTTGTTTCCATCAGAAAGCTAGTCAGAATTTGCAAGTAGGTGTAGAGTTGGAAATTAATGCACGATTGCAGGAGTCCACGGGAACTATTGCCTATCAAGTCGATTTACCTAAAGCAGATTTATTGTTCAGAGGTATGGCAGATTTGATATTATTTATCACAAATATAATCTTACGTTTATATTTACTTTTGAAATATTCCAGGAAGTGTTGATTCAAATTGGACTGTTGGTGCTGTATTAGAAAAGAAATTACAACCATTGCCATTTTCTTTCGCACTTAGTGGCATGCTTAATCATACCAAACAACAATTTAGACTTGGTTGTGGCCTTATTATTGGCTAAGAGTTACGCTAGTTTACGTAATTGATTATTATCATACGGATGGAAAAGAGCAGTGCTTTACTGCTATGTTACTAAAGATAATAATGTAACTAGCATTAACGATGCAAAGTTAGTGTCTTTTCTCAGTCTCCCATCCATCATTTATTGAAACATTTTTTAGTCAAGTTATATTATTCGAGCACACAATTAAACATTCACTTATGTTACACTGTAGGATCAGTGAATTAAAAAATATTCCGAAGTCACTAAACACATTTAAATTACCATTTCTATTATAGCGTAAAACAGCATTTTTGTTTCTATTTTAAGTAAGAAACAAATATTTACTGCATTTACAGATTTTTAAAAACATAAATGTATATAAAAATATCCGTGTGCTAATAACGAAAGATTTTTAGAAAATCATTATCTATATCCCAAATTAAGTTTTTGTATCAGCCAATTCATTTAAATGAAAGTATAGAGAGATTTCAAATATAAAGTTGATAAGACATACAAAGATTTCTTGGATGCTTAGATGTTACCAAATGTGAATCTTTTAAGGTCATAAAGATTTATTGAAAATATACTTCTTAAAAATGAATATTTTATTTTAAAGTAATATAACGATATATAAACTTATATATGTATAATATATATTTATTATGTATATGTATGGTTATATATGTATGCCTATTATTTATTTACTTTGTAAAAATAAATATATCACATATATATATATATATATACATACATACATATATATACATACATATATATACATACATATATATATATATATACACATGGCATTTTTATTACATATAATGTCAATGTATTAAATATAAACTTCATATGAGCATTGTGTAAATGCAGTTGCAATATGGGATTATGTAATTTTTTGCATTTCTTATTACGTACGATGTTAACGAAATTATTTTTCATGTGTGTGTACAGTTACATTTTTGTCTTTTTAACTTTTATAATTTTTTGTCGATTATCTAAATCATAATTGATTGTCACCTCGAATGAGAAATTATTTAAAGGCTGACTGAAAAGGTAAATAAAATATGAACATGAAATATTAAATATTATTATAATATATAATATTAGTAGTTTTTTGTGGTTTTGTTTTTTCTTATGAAGATTTATTTGCCTCAGGATTTTGCAGAGTTAAATAAATAGAACTTAATAAAATATTGTGTGTATATTGTTGAAGAAGTTTACATAAGAGAGTGAACTTTTGAATTATTGTTAAATAAAAGATAGTTAATTCTCTTCGTTTTACCTAATTTATATGTTTTCTTGTCTCCTACTATTTTGTTATTAAAGTTATTGAAAATTGAATGAATATTAATGATCATAGATAAATTCATAGTCTAATAAATATGTCTTCTTCTTCTTTTTCTTTATGTTAGAACTTCGTCCTGTTATTTCTAGCTTCATAGTCTTCCTTAGGTGTTTGTTGTTCCTGCAAATACAATATCTTTATAATATAAATAATTATATTATAAAGTAAATCATATAAAATCCATAGTGTTTGAATTAGTAATTTGTAAAAATTACTTCAGTACGTTTGTATTAATTTTATTTATAATTTCTGTTCATATATAAATTATGTCCTGAAATACCAACTAAAGTATTTTATTAAGTTTTCACACTTAATCGATAAGTTATCTACAGAGGAGGGATAAATAATTAAAATTGACAAAAAAAAGTAATTCGGTTGGTTAGAGGCGCCATCGGTAGACAGTTTTGGAATTATTATACATTTGTAAGAATCATTTGTAATATGTATCGCATATCTATATGCTTATCGTAAACTTATAATTGCCAATATTCGAAATGTGTTTCATATTCGCGATCGAGTTGAGAGACGAGAAGGTAAACGAGATCGTTCTTGATAGGAACAAATGAAACAAGTATAAAACGTTACGTTACGTTAGGTAGAAAAACCGGAAGAGAAACAATGAACAATTAGTATGGAAATCGTTTAGAGGCTATAAAAATGAGCATGGAAGAATACACTGTGCGCGAACAGCCACTCAACGTCGAATACAAAGCCAAGTTCTTCGTTCCTTCTTAGACTTCTATAACGACGTTTCTTCGACAAGGGTCAGGCATTATTATCGTTTCTAGTTGATGTTACTACCACACTTAACGTTTTACTCTTTTATGTGCATACGCCTTTACCTATTATTTCATCTACTGGGTGTTCATTGAATTTTAAATAGGCGTTGTTGTCAGCCATCTTGGTATCTTCTTGGTACCTCCTTGGTATCATCTTGTTATTACAAATTGCACAATTTGTATATTACAATATCACGATTAAAAAATTATTTGAATAAAAAATATTACCCCTTTACGAAAAAGACATGATTTTGAAGATTTTAATGAACGAATTAAAATATAGGCTCTCCTAAAAGTTGCTTTATCAAATTGAAATGTTAGAAATTTATGTTTGGCAAGTATTTAGTTATGGGCTCATACTTTATTTAGCAACATTGAAATTAAAAATTCATATTTTGTTAAACTAAATATTATGATTTTAATAATTTAATTAATGTATCAATATTGAATTCTTTTTGTTCTCTTGGTAAAGCGACTTTACTTTTAGGACAGTCTCTATTTTATGGAATATGATTCTAAGGGAAATGGAAATGGAAATGAATAAATAACTATTTTTGTTACAAATAAAGAGTATGTCAATGGACATTTAAAATTCAACTAGAACAACTTGTGATTTTTTTGCTTGAAAGTTGATTGGTATAATATCCGTATATTCGAGATTACGGTAGTACGGGGTGATTTGAACGCTCACAATGCCAAGAATCGATGTCGTAACTGTACACATATTTAAATCTTTTTATGTGTTATGTATGTATATGTGCATGTAAATACGCAACGTGTTCGAAAGTGCGACTCTGGAGGGTCACGTTACAGAATACATCTGCGACAATCAGAATGCATGTTACGTTAGACAGTTCGATAAGAAAATGACGATTCTCGCTGCTGTAATTTACACATCATAAATTTCAATATTTAGTACAGCGAATTTGTTTAGTCAGTAGGTAACTTCGTTCATTGATACTCAACAAAATATGAATGTCAATGTTTTATTTCATGGATAACATTTTTTACTTTTATATTAGGTGTAGAAATGAATTCGGTGCCCCGATATTAAATACTTTGTAATTCTGGTTTGAATTTAAATAATTGCCCGCGATTTTATAATGTTTACAATATTTACAGCACTTACAGTTATGAACCATTTGATAATTAATTTAAACGAAAACTATTAGCAAACAAGATGGCAAGACACATATTTGTTTTAACAATGCACCGAATTCATTTTTTAAACCTAATATAATAGAGAATATCGATCGTTTATATTTAGCAATTTATATTAGTTTTATTCGTTTATATTAGCAATAAGTTTTGAACTTTTTCTTTATATATTATAATTTTGTATTTACATATATTTGAAAATTTCCAGGCTTTTGTTAGGATTGTCATTCGTCGGAGATCATTAAAAATAGATTTAATGAAATAACTCATTTTAAAGGTAAGTAATGCCTTTCTTTTTCCAAATAAACTTTCTTTTATTTGTTTCTAACATTCCTTACCGTTGAATTAGGAAAATAATAAATGACTCATATATTATATTGTACTTCCAGCTTTTAAAGTTCGAAAGTTAAGATGTTTGAATAGTACTACAAAGGTTAATGAAAATCCAAGGTCCACAATTTTAAAATCTTTGTTATATTTTGAAACTATGTTGTTGACAAATATTTTATGAATCATTCTACAACCTATGGACATTTTCTAAATCTGATAACATTCAAATTTGTTAGAAAAAATATTTTATTTAAAATTAAAGTAATGTAGAGCAAAGAATGACTATTTCCTAATATACGTTCATTTTATTACAGACAAGTTAACCAACAGAAAAAATGGATACAAAAATAAATCAAATTCAAGAAGAAGACGATAATGGTGACACGATTTTTTCAACTCCTTCTTTCTTACCCTTTGTCAGTTTCATAAAAAGAAAAAAAAGGAAAAAAAGAAAAAGAAAATTAGAAGATCTTGAAAAAAACAAACGGAAGAATCATCTAAATAATAACACGTTGCTCAATTACCATTATTTCTAAGTAAGTATACATATATACATATATGTTACGTCCAACGTTCGAATGTTGAAGAGGAAGAGGGTGTCTTAAGTTAGCCATGCTCCTTCCCTCCGTTCTCTCTTACTGTCTCTTTCTTTTTAAACTTCTAACTGATAAGAGGAATTATGCGCGCGCAGAAGTCAGAAGAACGAACGCGTTTCTCCCAGCTCGATTTGCGCCATACCCACTGCCTTACCAAGCAGGACGTGGTGGGCATTAATTCCTCTTCCCTCCCTGACTTTAGTTAAACCTAAGTATTTGCTTCGAGGAGTTCACCCCCTCTTCTCTCTCTCATTTGCTCCCTCTTCCTCTGTCTCTCTTTCTATTTCATTAGTTAGCCAATACTTCCTTTTTCTTCAATTCTCTTTCTTCGTTACTCTTTCTATTCTCTCTCTCTCTCTTCTTCCCTTTCTTTTTCTCTATAGTGCTCGCGCCACGTTCACCACAGCTCGGACTCTATGTAAGTACATAATATACACGAGCTCCGCTTTCGATCATAGAGCAGTGGCCAACGAGAGAGTCTCATATTAGAACGATCGAGTAAAGAACTTTTATTTTCAACGATACTGGTCGATTGGGTACTCACTCGTGCTTTCTCCCTTATTATATTTCTGTTTTTTTATTTGAAACATTTCAAGAATCTTCATTCGAAATAAATAACTTAGAGATTCTTAAATAAAGACAGATTCTTTTATATAAAAAAAAAAAAAAAATAGAGAATTAAGAAAGTATAATTCATCAACGAATGCATTAGTTAATTGAATTTTGATAGTGATTTAATATTCTATTTTTTGAATTGGACACTTTTGAATAAGAAGAAGAAGAAGAAGCAGATGAAGTAGACGAAGTGACAATTTTGGAAAAGCAGAAGTAACCAAGTATCGATATCGTGACTTATTTTGGTAAGTAATTTTCATTGTTTGTTTATTTTTTCACGTAATTATATTATTTACTTTTTCTTGTTATTCCCATTTCAAAGAATCAATACCGCGGTTATCGTCGTCGATGACATCGTGTTACCGAAAGCGTGTTGCGTGAACTGGGCCGGTGGTCCGCGAGTTACTGGAGACCGGGGGCTGCTTACGGGGAATGTATATACGTTGGGTATCAGAGTGATAACGTCGCCCCTGCGTGCGATAAAACAGTCATCGTTGTCGTTACGTTATAAACTGCTGGTACAGCGATTGACGTGTGTAAACGATCGACTGTCGTTTATGAATTTTAATTTTGTCCGTTTCTCGTTCTTCGTGTTCCATTGTTTTTATTATTTCAATCATCCAGGTATCTATATTATCACCTTTGATATCTATTATTTGAAAGATCTATGTATCTCGGATTTGTTAGCATATTTTTCTTTATGTATGATCAATCGCTATAGGTCGCAAAATAGAGGACTACGAGAGTTTAAACTCTTTGACAAAAACACGACCTATCTTGTTTCTCTTATCAATATAATTCACGTGACATCAAAAAAACTCGATCGTTCTCATCCTTCTTATCTTGCATCACTGTTGCTAACGAATAAACAATCTAAATGGAGATGACCCTTAGAAAGTTCGTTTTATGTGAAACTAGTTATGAAACATCTATCTTCGTACATTTTTTGTTCGTTTTGCAAGAACGTTCTACATTCGTGGTTGAAAATTATTGTCTTAGTTATATTCTTTACAGAGGAAAGAAATATATACACGAATGGTCGAGTTTTTAACTAATAAATTTTGCTCGTCTATTGGCCTACCTACTTTTGTCGTAGTCGTAGTCTCGAATATGTTTGAATTTTATCGGTTTGAACGATCGTCCAGGGTCGTCATTATTTCTATTTAAACACTTGTTCGCTGCGTCACATGTCCCTTGAGTCACTCAATCGTTCGTCACGATTGATGTTAAAAATGCGACTGGTCTCTTTTCCTTGTTAAATTTTTCCAATATTTTTTTCGGGTATTTAATTCTTACCTATTGTTTTTCATTATTTTATTTATTATTACAAGAACTTGTCGTTAGGATAAAATTTTGAAACGATCACTATAACTGGGGGAGAGAAATTTTATTATTTTTTTATATTCTATTTAAGATACTATTATTTTAGAAAAATAAATTGAGATCGAATAGTACGTAGTGTAAATTTCGAAACATTCACACATTAAATTCCTCAATCGTCTAATTTACGAGTTTGTAATTTGATCTTAATTTTTTTTTCAAAATTTTCTTTTTTCGAAAATTTCCAAATAAAACTTACATTAGAAATCGTTAGAAATTTTCTTTTTATATTTGCGTATTTCGTTTATTTAGTTAAATATTTAGTTAAAATTACGTTAGAAAGTTTGAACAAAATTAACGTTCTTGTCATTAGTCAAATTTTACGAATTTAGGTAACGTTCGAAGAGTATCTTTATCTTACTCACGATCAGAAAATATTTTCTCATTAATGTTGTATCTTATAATAATTCTTACGTAAATAAGAGGTGAGAGTGCACGATGTCGGGTCGTCCGAGAGAAATTTATTTATTTATTTTTTTTTTTAAATATATGATTTTCGTCAGGGAGGAGTGAATCGTGGTTTGAAATAAATATATAGAAATAAAATAAATAAAAGTACGATACGTTAATATAAATTTGACTTTTACATTATGATAAAAACACCGCAGGGAAATAATTCCTCTAATTACGGCCGTAATGATCGTTTTTAAATAACATTTATACCTAAATATCGTCGTACAGTAAACTTTCTCTAGTCGATTAAGCAATTGTAATAACGTAAGCGTCGTTTTTTTTTTATTTCGCTGGAATTAAAGAATATTTTTCTTTTTTAACGAATTATTATTTTTATTTTTTATTTTTTTTATATCGTCAAGAAAGAAGTTCTAGATTCGAGAAATGTTCTGTATTTACATACATACACACACGTGGGCACACATACATACATACATACACACACACATATAAAGAATCCAGGTCAGGCAAGAGCACAAGAGTCAAAGTTCACGTAAATAACCGTATGTACGTTAAAATCATCGGCATCTTTCTATCTTTTTACATCTTTCTCTTTTGATTTATTTAAACAAATTTGTTCCTTATTTCAAAATTCGTATATTAATTTCGTTATTATTTAGTAATTATATCTCAATTTTAAAAGGAGAATTTTGAAAACGTGAGAGAAGAAATGTAAAAGGATTCTTTTAAATTTTTATAAAAAAAAAAAAAAAAAATTTTTTTCAGAAATATCGACGTGATCATTCTCGATATTTATAGTCATCGATTATTTTTCACTCGTTTACGTTATAACATATTTTTCTCTTGCATTGAATAACCATTGCAAATCCTGAAGAATATTATTCTTTTTTTAAACATGGGAACCGTTATTTCCTTGAACGTAGACCACATCCGCGAGAAATAATTTAAATATTGTCCGCTCGTCGACATTCATCATTGAAAAATTCATCGCATTAATATTTAGATGAAAATATTTCTCATTTTTTATATATATATATATTAAAATAGAAACTTTATTCGAGAGAAAGAGAGAGAGAGAGAGAGAGAGAGAGAGAGAGGGGGAGAGGGAGAGACTGAACAAATATAACGTTCATAATTTATGCGTGTACTACTTATCTTGCAATTATCGATCTCGTAATTAGCCTTATGCAGATGACGCTGTTATTATCACAATTTTTTTTATATCACCATACAGCTTCCAAAGATATCGTTGAGTGTCGTTAGCCTTTATCTATCTTTTTCGCGGTATTTTCCCTGTATAGTTAGATTAACCGCAAAAGTGATATAATCTAATAATACATATATACCGACATATTTGACTTTAGTTAGACGTATCATGAATCATATTCATTGAGTATATTCTATTATCAACGATATGTCTCTGATACGTTTATTAAAGATTATTCTTTTCGAAGATTTTTCTTGTTTTTTTTTTTCATCTTATTACCGATGTCCTCTTTACATATATTATGTTGTAAAAATTTAGTCAAAGACAAGACGAGTCAAGAACAAACGTCTGTTTGCGATTAGAATTTTTTTTTCGAATGTAGAATGTACGATAACATGAATGATAAAATTGCACAATATAATCTTTTAATATGTTATAACGTATCTTCTTCTTCTTTTTCGTTGTTTCTTTTTTTAACTCTTTTGTTATGCTTTTACTTTTTTAAATTACACTCATTTTATCTTGATTATGTTTCTTAGCGAAATCTATATACTCGAGACTTATTTATCAACGCGATATACATATTACATAATATATTTATTTCTAAAAGATGGATTTATCTTATACTTGCGAGATGATATATAACTGCTCGTTCCTTTTATCTCTTCTCTTTCTCTCTCTCTCTCTCTCTCTCTCTCTCTCTCTCCTTCTCTTTTCTTCACTTCTTCTTTATGAATGTTTTTATCTCGATTATTTTTTAAGATCGACATTTAGAGACAGAATACGTGATACAGCATTAGTGACGTTTATTTGCAACTTTCCAGAGATATGTAAATATCTAATTAAATATGTCACCACTTGATCCAAGTCCAATCGCGTTATCAATATTTTAAATTATTACTTTTTTTCTTTTTTAATTTTTTTCATTTATTTTTCAACATCAACTTTTGCCTTTGTCAGTTCAACGTACGTCAAAACTTGTGTTAATAAAATTAATAAGTCAAGAAGAAAATAATTCATGTTTATTTAAATAATATTTTGTAAGCGAATTAAACGACTTGTATACTACATCGTTTATGCTCTTAACCAAAAGTTATTAATCACATTTTCAATTTTTTCTCAAGAGAACATTATTTTTTCCAATTTATTATATATTACTTCATGAAAAGTATTAATTAACATTGTGTATGAAAGCATTAACATAAAGCATACCTTTTCCAAATTTGATCTTTTCCCCATTACATTTTTTTTTGATAAGCAATAATTGAAATTAGCATAAATGTTAGTAACTTTTGACTGAACATAGACGATATGTGATAGAGCATGAGATTCTTGAAAATGGCGGCAACACGGTGAAAGGCGAATGGTTCGTTAAGAAGAATCAAGCTCTTCCTACCGTGTACGCTCCGCCTTCCGTTTAAAATCCGATCCAAGAGATAGATCATTTTTTAATTTTATATAAAAATCATATAATAATATTCCTCTCACCCATCTTTTCCACCCCTCTTTAACGCACAATAAATTCTATAAAGTCTTACGAAGTCTAAAAATACGTGTCTGAACGAAAATTATTTTTTCTCATCAATTCACATACATACACATAACACATATTAAATCTTCAATGATCATTCAAGGACACATGTTAATCATAGACGTTCCTCTATAATCCAAGAATCTTAAGAATTGATATATAACATAACCTATCGCAATGATATCGATTATAGAAAAAAATTATTCTATATATCGAACTGGTTACTTGTATTTTTATGTTTTTCAAGATTTTCTATTCGTACGTTATATTCAATTTGAATTCCTGGTATTCGTCTTTGATAAAATGTTTTACGTCAAAACCTCATCGTTTGCATTATCATCGTTGTTTTTTTTGTGTGTGTTCTTTTTTCTCTTTTTCTCTAAAAAAAAAAATTTAACGTTTTCCTTAAAAGGATTTTGTAATACTGAAGAAGAAAGATAGATAATTATGTGTCCCTACCATGAACATATTTCTTTTCAAGAAAAAGCGTGCTCTTTATTTTCTTTCTTAGTAAAATATAACATTTTCGAATTCAAATACAAGGAAAAAAATAACGTCACATGGAAATTTAAAGTATGCATTATTTTTAAATATACGTTTAAGAGTAGTATTTTACGTTTTACATAACCAGAAAATAAATATGCCTTAACCACGGTCGAAAAATTTAATTACATTATACTTTAGACTCGCAAATCTAAACATCATGCTTTTTT